CTTCTTCATCCTTGCTCTCAAGATCGCATTAAAGTTACATGGGTACAAATCTGACTCGATTTATTCAATTACAACTAACATTCACAATAATGCAAGTGGTAGGCTTCGTTGTTAACTAGGCCTCATATTTATCATAACAATTTAACAGCATTATAAAGGCATTTACAGCATTATAATGACAATCCTAACATTATAACAGCATTCCCAGTATTATAAGAACATAAAACAAACTTACAGAGAATGCTTCTTAAAGTCCCACAATGAACAGATGCATCTGTCTTCACTGAGATGCTATTTGTGCCTCCATTTTGTACTCTGAGTAATGGCTGATACCCTGCCTCATGGCTTAGAGAATGTCAAATCATAACTTCCTGGTCACGTGACCAAACTCAACATCATATCAGAAAATTCCTGTGTATGCACACCTCCACACCTGCTGTGAGGCAGAACGGACTCACTGCAGCATTAGTTCGGAGGTTCGGTAAATGCTCTTCCTTCCGAAATTTAGAAGCCACGAGGAGCCATGCATTTTTAAATAATCTAGGTGGACAAACTCATTTCTTTATAATTGCTTTATGTGTTTAGTTTGTTGTCCTCCCCACTGCACTTCCGATTAGCGTGATTGCCTATGTACAGTGAGAAGAAGCTCAACTTACATACAGTGAGGGAAACAAGTATTTGATCCCCTGCTGATTTTGTACGTTTGCACACTGACAGAGAAATGATCAGTCTATAATTTTAATGGTAGGTTTATTTGAACAGTGAGAGACAGAATAACAACAAAATCCAGAAAAATGCATGTCAAAAATGTTATAAATTGATTTGCCTTTTAATGAGGGAAATAAGTATTTGACCCCCTCTCAATCAGAAAGATTTCTGGCTCCCAGGTGTCTTTTATACAGGTAACGAGCTGAGATTAGGAGCACACTTAAAGGGAGTGCTCCAATTTCAGCTTGTTACCTGTATAAGAGACACCTGTCCACAGAAGCAATCAATCAGATCACAAACTCTCCGCCATGGCCAAGACCAAAGAGCTCTCCAAGGATGTCAGGGACAAGATTGTAGACCTACACAGGGCTGGAATGGGCTACAAGACCATTGCCAAGCAGATTGGTGAGAAGGTGACAACAGTTGGTGCGATTATTCGCAAATGGAAGACACACAAAAGAACTGTCAATCTCCCTCGGCCTGGGGCTCCATGCAAGATCTCACCTCGTGGAGTTGCAATGATCATGAGAACGGTGAGGAATCAGCCCAGAACTACACGGGAGGATCTTGCAAATGATCTCAAGGCAGCTGGGACCATAGTCACCAATAAAACAATTGGTAACACACTACGCCGTGAAGGACTGAAATCCTGCAGCACCCGCAAGGTCCCCCTGCTCAAGAAAGCACATATACATGCCCGTCTGAAGTTTGCCAATGAACATCTGAATGATTCAGAGGACAACTGGGTGAAAGTGTTGTGGTCAGATGAGACCAAAATGGAGCTCTTTGGCATCAACTCAACTCGCCGTGTTTGGAGGAGGAGGAATGCTGCCTATGACCCCAAGAACACCATCCCCACCGTCAAACATGGAGGTGGAAACATTATGCTTTGGGGGTGTTTTTCTGCTAAGGGGACAGGACAACTTCACCGCATCAAAGGGACGATGGACGGGGCCATGTACCGTCAAATCTTGGGTGAGAACCTCCTTCCCTCAGCCAGGGCATTGAAAATGGGTCGTGGATGGGTATTCCAGCATGACAATGACCCAAAACACACGGCCAAGGCAACAAAGGCGTGGCTCAAGAAGAAGCACATTAAGGTCCTGGAGTGGCCTAGCCAGTCTCCAAACCTTAATCCCATAGAAAATCTGTGGAGGGAGCTGAAGTTTCGAGTTTCCAAACGTCAGCCTCGAAACCTTAATGACTTGGAGATGATCTGCAAAGAGGAGTGGGACAAAATCTCTCCTGAGATGTGTGTAAACCTGGTGGCCAACTACAAGAAACGTCTGACCTCTGTGATTGCCAACAAGGGTTTTGCCACCAAGTACTAAGTCATGTTTTGCAGAGCGGTCAAATACTTATTTCCCTCATTACAATACAAATCAATTTATAACATTTTTGACATGCGTTTTTCTGGATTTTGTTGTTGTTATTCTGTCTCTCACTGTTCAAATAAACATACCATTAAAATTATAGACTGATCATTTCTTTGTCAGTGGGCAAACGTACAAAATCAGCAGGGGATCAAATACTTTTTTCCCTCACTGTATAGAGATATCTGGATGATATATTCGTGGTCTCGCCACATGGCAAAGGTACACTTAACCAATTTCTAAATCATCTCAACTCACAAAACCCATCCATTCAGCTTACTATGGAAGTGGAAGTTGACAGAACTCTTCCATTTTTGGATATTCTGCTTAGACGCAGCCGAATTGGTAAAATAACACGTTTACCGAAAGAAAATGCACACTGACGCCAAGCTGAATGCAGAGTCACTCCGTCACCCTGCACAGAAATCCTCTCTCATAGAGACGCTCATACATTTGTCTAAGAAAGTGTCAGATGGTGAAAGTCTGAGAAGTTAGATTAAACATGTTAAAGAAGCACTGCGATTGAACGGTTACAATGATTCACAAATCAGCAGAACACTGAATGCCAAAACCAACATCAAATAGCACAAGTGTTTAAACTGACCAAGGAATTAGAACTATTAAAATACCGTGCATTGCGGGAGTAACTGATAAACTAGCCAGATTTTTGGAATAAGAAATATCCCACTCACACATACACACACAGTTAACTGAGGGCAACTGAGGGCAAACAGGTACGCGTGTGCAACATGGGGTGTGCACGGACAAACTGCCAGTTGTTAAGGGGCGAAGCAGGTGCAAGCGGGGTCGACCGGTTGTGCACGTTAAGACCGGAGGTGTTGCCAGGGAGATGGGAGATAAAAGTTGATTGATGGGCCAACAGGCGCTAGCCTGGCGAGAGCCTAAAAGACACACGAGAGGTCTTGGATAATTAGCAGAGGGATATAAGGGTGTGGGTGTGAGCGGAGTGGGAGTTGTTGCGGGGAACCAAGAGTGAAGACATCTCGACGCTGCCACTCATGCCGTCGCCGGCGAAGGGCAGCGGCGGAGATGAGGAGCTGCTGTGTGTGAAGCTGCTGTATGCGGAGACGCTGCGTGCGGAGACGCTGTGTGCGGAGTCGCTGAGAGCAGAGCTGCTGAGTGCAGGATCAGCGAGGTGAAGGGAAGATAAGAGTGGGGAGAAGTTAAACACAAGTGACTGTAGAGATAGTTATAGGAGTGCCTACAACTGGTGCAAGAATAGGTGAATAAATTGTAAGCAGGTAACTTGTTACAACGTGTTGGTGTGAGCAATTTTTGAAGACACTGCATATATATTACCGAAACTATCAACAGAAGGTGTGTACCGGATTAATTGCTCCTGTGGCAAATGCTGTGTTGGTCAGACAGGACAAATAATCAGCATGAGACTAAAAGAACACCAATGGAATATTAAGTATTCCCAAATAAAACTGTCGGCAGTGGCAGAATACGTGTGTCAGGGACACTTAATTGATTTTGATAATGTTGAAGTTATGTGCAAAACTGGTTACTACTGGCTAAGACTAATTAGAGAATATATCTAAATTGAGAGAAACAAAAATAATTCTAACGGTTCGAATAGCTATAGGCTTAGTGCTGCTTGGAAACGAATCAAGTGATACACTGTTTAACTGCATACCTATACAGGTCAACCTACACCAATGGTAAGTAAATGAGCAAACAGGTACTTCGATTTATGTGTACACAAACAACGGCAGGATGTATGAGCACAATGTGCATTAATAATGTATGTTGATTACATTATGAATAACCAAACTGACAATGGTTATCCATTGTAATGTATATGCATACATTAACCCCCCCCAATCCTGGTCTTCGCACCTGATTAACTCACAAGTGGCGACATCACATTTATCCCCCCTCTATTTAATAACGAAAGAGGGGAAGGATTTATGCGCAAATCTGGCTGTTAGCCTGATGATGCTGGTTGTTGTTGTAATTACTGGTGAAACGTCACGTTACTCAAATTTTAAATGTTGTAGTGGGTTTTCTCTCCAACACACAACCGTTTAGTGCTGTACCCATGCAATGACAACTTGACACACTTATTTTGAGATGGGACTTTATTGAAGATACGTTCTCTTGACATCAGGAGGAGACCCCACTGCAACAGCCCCGAGTCTCCCACGCATCTCCCTTATATACCAATCGCTGACTCTGGAGGCTCGCTCCACCGGCAGACTCTACCATCCTCTTCCGTCACGTGACCACGCTCCCTTCTCGATCATTCCCGTAGCCACCAGTCCCTTCGCACTCACAACTCATACCCCTGTCATTACCTCCCGTAGCCACCAGTCCCTTCACACTCACAACTGACTCCCCTGTCATTACCTTCCGTAGCCACCAGTCCCTTCGCACTCACAACTGATACCCCTGTCATTACCTCCCATGGCCACTAGTCCACTTACAGCGCATGTCGGCTCTACTGTCATTACACTAGTATACTACACTTTCTACTACACTATACACAACACTAAAATTGTAATTGTTGTGGGTTTACTCTTCAACACAACCGGTGTGCTGTACTAGTAACGAATTGGCACGTTCTGTTTACATGACAAGTCTTACTAATGGCCTGTGTCAGGTGGTGGCGGGTTTAATGACTCATTTATATTTACACGATCTAACCCAAAAAACCTTTATAATTGATACATATATACCATCACCACCTCATCATCACCTCATCATCAAGCCACATCAGCCATGCACTTTGAAATCTAGATTAAAAACACATTTCTTTAGAAACTGCTCGTTGTTGTGTTTAGTTTGTTGTCCTTCCCCCCACACCTCCGATGAGCACAGCTAGCTACGTACGGTGCGAAAGAAGTTCAACACGCGTATTTGGATTGATGTTGCTGCTAAATGATGTAAGTACGCATTTTGCACCTTTTTTCGCACCGTACCTAGCCAACCGCGGCTAAATCGGAGGTGCGGATGATGGTGGCGGTGGATCGTGTCCGCTTGCTGCGTACCTTGCCCCGCACCTCTGATTAGCATGGTTGGCTACGGACGGTGCGAAAGAAGTTCAACGTGCACACGTACGTACGCACACACGCACGTGGATTGATGATGGTGGCGGTGGATTGTTTCCACTTGCTGTGTGTCTCATTCACGTGTGCAGGCTGACGCCGAGGCTGACGCCCCCAGTGGGTTGCGTGTGCCAGGACCGCGTGGATATCTCCAATAATAACCACGTGGACGTCACCAATAAGCCATCTCTGAAGTAAGGACACAGGCATCGATGAAAGGTCTAGGATAGGAGTTTGTTTTGATGGTCCACGAGGCAACATTTTTGTCTCAACAACGATTATTTCATTTTACCAGGTAAGAGCCCCAATTGAGCTGCTATACAACCAAGTGGGCTTACCATCGTCATCATCACACCGTATGGGCATTTTATAGCAGCCAAATACTCTAAATGCATGGGTAGAGGGTGGGTGGGTGAGTGGTGGGTGGGTAGTTGGTGGGTAGGTGGTCGGTGGTGACTGCGTCAGTGGCTTTCCGCTTTTTAAAACCTCTTCCTTTTACTATTTTTATTTGACCAGATAAAACCCACTGAGCCACGTCGCTCTTATTCAGAAGAGACCTGGCTATCACAAATCATAGCTCAACCAAGTGGCTTATCATCGTCGTCATCGTGTGGGAATTTATAGCAGCAGACACATTTTTTAAACGCGTGGATGTTCATTCATAATGTCGAGGGATGGAGGGAAAAACCGGTTGGCCCGGAGAAAAATCCACGCGAACATGGGGATAGAGAGAGAGAGAGACGCAAACTCCAAATATACAGCAGCAGGCGTCAGGGTCGGGATCGACCCCACGACCTCCTGCACACAAGGCGAGGTAGTTAACATCTCCTAGATCTAACCAAAAATAAATAAATCTCCTAGATGTTAACTACCTCCGTCTTAGACTGTCCATGGGCGTCGTGAACTCGGAGCGGCCTCTGGTCGATGACGATCGCCGTTGATGTTGTTGCTGCTGTTGTAGTTGCTGCTGTTGTTGTTGATGTTGCTGCTGCTGTTGTTGTTGCGCTCAGTTGTAGGAACATCATGGAAACACAAACGGCGGCGGAGATGGCGTGCGCGCTGAACCTCCGGAGGATCGCCGTGCAGGGGATTCCGGCCAAGTGAGTCGACCACGAACATGTGTGTATCCGGTGTGTGTGTAACTCTGTGTGTATCTAACTCTGTGTGTGTGTGTAACTCTGTGTGTATCTAACTCTGTGTGTGTGTAACTCTGTGTGTGTCTAACTCTGTGTGTATCTAACTCTGTGCGTGTGTCTAACTCTGTGTGTATCTAACTCTGTGTGTGTGTAACTCTGTGTGTGTGTCTAACTCTGTGTGTCTAACTCTGTGTGTGTGTAACTCTGTGTGTATCTAACTCTGTGTGTGTCTAACTCTGTGTGTGTCTAACTCTGTGTGTGTCTAACTCTGTGTGTGTGTAACTCTGTGTGTGTCTAACTCTGTGTGTGGTGTGCAACTCTGTGTGTGTAACTCGGTGTGTGTGTAACTCTGTGTGTGTCTAACTCTGTGTGTATCTAACTCTGTGTGTGTGTCTAACTCTGTGTGTGTGTAACTCTGTGTGTATCTAACTCTGCGTGTGTCTAACTCTGTGTGTGTGTAACTCTGTGTGTGTGTAACTCTGTGTGTGTGTGTAACTCTGTGTGTATAACTCTGTGTGTGTAACTCTGCGTGTGTGTAACTCTGTGTGTGTGTCTAACTCTGTGTGTGTGTAACTCTGTGTGTGTCTAACTCTGTGTGTATAACTCTGTGTGTGTGTAACTCTGCGTGTGTGTAACTCTGTGTGTGTGTCTAACTCTGTGTGTGTGTAACTCTGTGTGTGTGTAACTCTGTGTGTGTGTAACTCTGTGTGTGTGTCTAACTCTGTGTGTGTAACTCTGTGTGTGTGTAACTCTGTGTGTGTGTCTAACTCTGTGTGTGGTGTGCAACTCTGTGTGTGTAACTCTGTGTGTGTGTAACTCTGTGTGTCTAACTCTGTGTGTGTCTAACTCTGTGCGTGTGTAACTCTGTGTGTATCTAACTCTGTGTGTGTGTAACTCTGTGTGTGTGTAACTCTGTGTGTATGTAACACTGTGTGTGCGTAACTGTATGTGTGTGTAATTCTGTGTGTGTATGTAACTCTGTGTGTGTGTAACTCTATGTGTGTGTGTAACTCTGTGTGTCTGTAACGCTGTGTGTGTAACTCTGTATGTATAACTCTGTGTGTGTATGTGTAACTCCGTGTGTGTGTAACTCTGTATGTGTAACTCTATGTGTGTGTGTAACTCCGTGTGTGTGTAACTCTGTGTGTGTGTCTAACTCTGTGCGTGTGTAACTCTGTGTGTATCTAACTCTGTGTGTGTGTAACTCTGTGTGTGTAACTCTGTGTGTATGTAACACTGTGTGTGTGTGTAACTGTATTTGTGTGTAACTCTGTGTGTGTAACTCTATGTGTGTGTGTGTAACTCTGTGTGTCTGTAACGCTGTGTGTGTAACTCTGTGTGTGTAACTCTATGTGTGTGTGTGCACGATTGATTCTTTGCCCTTTAGATGCTCCTAACTCTTATCTCGACGTTTATATTCTCTTAGCTCCACGTTTAGATGCTCCTATCTCTTATCTCTATGTGCGACACAACCCCCCGGCATTCGTCGAAATGATTGCCACGACGAATATCGAAACGTCATTCTAAGAAGTGATTTTTGTTACAGGGGTAGTGATAGTAGTAGTGGGTGGTAGTAGTAGTGGGTGGTGGTGGTAGTAGTGGGTGGTAGTAGTAGTAGGTGGTAGTAGTGGGTGGTAGTAGTAGTGGGTGGTAGTAGTTGTGGGTGGTCGTAGTAGTGGGTGGTAGTAGTAGTAGGTGGTAGTAGTAGTGAGTGGTTGTAGTAGTGGGTTGTAGTAGTAGTGGGTGGTGGTAGTAGTGGGTGGTGGTAGTAGTGGGTGGTGGTGGTAGTGGGTGGTGGTGATAGTGGGTGGTAGTGGGTGGTAGAAGTAGTGGGTGGTGGTAGTGGGTGGTAGTAGTAGTGAGTGGTTGTAGTAGTGGGTTGTAGTAGTAGTGGGTGGTGGTAGTAGTGGGTGGTAGTAGTAGTGGGTAGTAGTAGTGGGTCGTAGTAGTAGTGGGTGGTGGTGGTAGTGGGTGGTGGTGGTAGTGGGTGGTGGTGGTAGTGGGTGGTGGTGATAGTGGGTGGTAGTAGTAGTGGGTGGTAGTAGTAGTGGGTGGTGGTAGTAGTGGGTGGTAGTAGTAGTGGGTGGTGGTGGTAGTGGGTGGTGGTGATAGTGGGTAGTAGTAGTAGTGGGTGGTGGTAGTAGTAGTGGGTGGTGGTAGTAGTGGTGGGTGGTGGTAGTGGGTGGTAGTAGTAGTGCGTGGTGGTAATAGTGGGCGTTGGCAGTAGTAGTGGGTGGTGGTAGTAGTGGGTGGTAGTAGTAGTGGGTAGTAGCAGTAGTGGGTGGTAGTAGTAGTGGCTGGTGGTAGTAGTAGTGGGTGGTAGTAGTGGGTGATGGTGGTAGTGGGTGGTGGTGGCGGAGGCGAAGGCTGAGAAGTGACGGGACGATGCCATCAGCGACGCGAGCGTGTGTGTGGGGGGTAACTGTTTGGCGTTTGAACATCTTAATATTATTACTAGAAAGGCTACACCTCTTCAGGTCACGCGCATGTTTCGGTGCCGGCGGTGCTGGTGGGGTAAATATGGGGACTCCTGGATTCAGAATCGCGGCGTGTGTGCGTTGTGTGTGTACGTGTGCGTGCACCAGGTTCAGCCAGGGGAGCATCGTGAACGACGTGCTGAGTGTGCACGTGTGCCCCTGGGCACCCAACTTCTCCGCCGCTCTCAACTTCCAGTGAGTGCTGCTCAGCACAACCATCATCATGAGCACAATCATCATCAGCACAATCATAAACACAATCATCATGAGCACACTCGCCATCAGACCAATCATCATCGGCACAATCGTTTGCGGCACAATCATCATTGGCGCAATAATCATCAGCACTATCATCATTGACGCAATCATTATTAGTACAATCATCATCAGCACAATGATCACAAAGTTACACATGCTCCCCTCCTCTACATCGTTCATCATGCTGAGTCCGCCAATTGAATGCTATTTTTTATGCTAATTCCTTTGTCAAGGCGCTCTGCTTCCTCGCACACAGCTTAAAGGTCGCGGTCTGAGCTTGGCTGTGTTCACTCCAGCGCTGTCCTCTAGACAGTCTGGTCCCTTCACCTGATGAAGGCCACTTGTGTTGTGGCCGAAACGTCGTGAATTTTTTATTTTTTGTTGTGTTTTTTACGTGACTTTACCGAATAGAACCAAAGAGTATGTGACAAACCTTATTGGCTGTGTCAGATGGTGGAGGGTTACGACACATTTATGCTTATGCAATCTAACCCAAAAACCTTTGTTATGAATAATATTGGTCGCGAAAGCCCCGGCTTCATTTAAAACTGATCTCAACGACTGTGAGGGCGAATGAAGGCTGCAGCAGAACGATATCTCCAATTGTCTTGTTTACTTGCCATTGTATGGGAAGCTGTTGTGCAACATCTTCTCCATGATAAGGCATCTTTCGTGAAAGGAGCAATATCTTCCAGCATGTTCAATACAAGTCCTTTGGCGACCGGCTTGTGATGACGGGAGCGGGTTTGTGAAGTTTCGAAGCTTCTAGCCACACACTGACATGAATGCGGCAGCTACAAAATGGCCGTCTAGCACTCGGCGGAGACAGGAGCGTGTTTTGGCAGCTGTAACTGCGACTGAGCAGTCATCTTTAGGATCCAATCTGCTCACCCCACGTGGGGAAGTGGCTAGAAAAGGTGCCCTGAACATAATCTGTCTCACCCCTTTCCGACTGGATAGCCACATCCAGAGGGATCACTGTTACCGTGGTGGGAACTAAAATAAAGGTCAGATAATTAAATGGGGGACCTGGAATGTCTGAACGCCCAGAACGCTGCACCGCAATCGTGGCCCGGGAACTCAGACGGGCACACCATGGACGTGGAGGTGCCCCTTTGTGAGATTCGGCGAGCAGGGGAGGGGCAGCTCAAGGCAAAAGGAGGTGGCTACACCCCCCTCTTCTGGAAAGGCAGACAGGAAGAACAGTGGCAGCTGCACGGGGTTGGCTTCGCCATCAAGAATTAACTCATCAATCAGATTGGCGAGTTGTCTTTTGTAATCAGTGAGCGCTTCATGACTCTGTCTCAAACTGGTGGGTTAGCCAACATGCCACTGACATCAGCGCATATGCCCCGAATCTTGACTCCGATGATGAAACTAAGGAATCATTTTATGTCAGCCTTGACCAGGTTCTGTCTATCATTCCTGTGAGAGACAAATGTATTCTTCTCGGTGATTTTAATGCCAGGAGGTGGAAGGGACTTAAACCTCTGGAATGGAACCATCGGCAAGGAAGGAGTGGGAAAAGTGAATTGTAATGTCTTCTTTGGTTCTTTCGGTAAAGTCACGTAGAATGATAATAAAATAATAAATTGATAAAATAAAATAACACAATAATATTCTCACGATGTTTCGGCCACAACACAAGCGGCCTTCATCAGGTGAAGGGGGCGAGACTGTCTGGTAGGACAGCGCTGGAGTGAAAGAGCCACGTTCAGATACGGCCTTTAAGCTGTGTGAGAGGAACAAAGCGCCTTGACAAAGGAATTAGCATATAATTTAGCATTGAAATGGCTGAATGATGGTTCAATGAGCCACTCTGTCTACAGGAAAGCTACCCATACAGATGCTTACTTGAAACCGGATTCCCACCACCATCCATCCCAGAAGAACTCCCTCATCAAGACTCTATACCATAGAGCCCAATGCATTTCCGACCAGGAACACATTACCAGTGAACTCAAGCACGTACACCAGGCTCTCAGGGCTAATGGCTACTCCGACTACACAATCCGCAAAGCCATCACTCCAGTCATGAAGAAGGATTCTCTTGTGGAGCCACTCAACACCATCACCTTACCCTACATTGCAGGGGTCACTAAAAAGATCTCCAAAATCCTGAACAAACACAAGATCCAGGTCCGATTCAACACAGTACATAAAATCCGTGATTTAGTTCCATCTGTAAAAGATGCTGTTCCAGACATACAGTACCCGGGCGTTTACAAACTAAAGTGCCTCTGTGGTAGTAGCTACATTGGAGAAACCAAAAGACATATCTCGGACCGCATCCGCGAACACAAAGCAGACTTGAAACACGGTAGGACGAACTCCTCTGCCGTGGCAGATCACTGTTATAATTCAGTGGGCTCACATGACATTGACTTCTCCAAGACGGAGGTTCTTTGCAAACCAACTGGCTACCATGAGAGATTCGTTCATGAGGCCATTCACATATACAAGCACAGAGACAATTTCAACCGAGAAGATGGATTCAGGCTTAGTAACCACTGGAAAGATGTTTTAAATCATTTCTGTTCTTAATTAATTGTATTTTTACGATGACCTTCAGACCGCAGCTCTTTCGCCAGCATTGCCTCTTAATACCTCTCACACCACGGTTAATGGTATAGTTTTACAATTTGGAGAATACTAGGGCCTCGCAGCTGTCTCTCTCCCCCTCCTCTGTTCCGACCATGGACGAACTCGTCCGTCTGAACGGGACCCGTAGCTATCCGTGGTGCTGAAATTTGAGGGTAAGAATCCACCCATTTTTTCGCCATATAGCATTGTGATATATAACGACTTATTGTTGGTAGCTTAGCTGATTGGAGAATATAGAGTTTATTGATAACATGAAGGTAATTTATATTTTAGTTTTTATTGGTTCACTATATAGTACTGTGAATAGCTCAGATGTGTAGTCATTTGTGTGACCAGTCACTAGCTAATCACTCAGTTGTTTCAATGCTGGATTCGCCTAGTTATTTCAATGCTAAATTCTCCTGTTTGATTTGTACTAAGGGCCTCGGTGAATGTGTATGCTCTGACTTTAACGTAGCTATTTCTGCAGCAGGTACAAGCTCTATTTCTGCAGCAGGTACAAGCTAACCACTCAGCTATCTCAATGCTAAATTCTATGCTAATTCCATTGTCAAGATGTGTATGCCTTAACTTAGCTATTTCAATGCTAAATTCTATGCTAATCCCTTTAACAATGGGTGCCTCTGCGGGTGTGTATGCTTTAACTTTTAACATAGCTATTTCTGTGACCAGTCACAAGCTAATCATTCAGCCATTTCAATGCTAAATTATATGCTAATTCCTTTGTCAAGGCGCTTTGTTCCTCTCACACAGCTTAAAGGCCGTATCTGAACGTGGCTCTTTCACTCCAGCGCTGTCCTACCAGACAGTCTCGCCCCCTTCACCTGATGAAGGCCGCTTGTGTTGTGGCCGAAACGTCGTGAGAATATTATTGTGTTATTTTATTTTATCAATTTATTATTTTATTATCATTCTACGTGACTTTACCGAAAGAACCAAAGAAGATGAATCATTGCAGTCACGAAAGCTTTAAATCGAAATTGAATTGTAATGGTATCCTCCTCTTGACTAAATGCAAGGAATGTGGACTCATCATCACCAACACCCTGTTCCACCAGAAAAATAAATACAAAACATCATGTCAATATCCACGATCTAAGCACTGGCACTTGATCAATTACCCCATTGTACGTGCCCGTGATTGCAAAGATGTCTGCATCACCCAGGCTGTGCAAGCAGCTGATGATTTCTTGACTGATCATCGACTCATCTCTTCAACCATATCCATAAAACTGTCTCCCAAGTGATGGCTGCAGTGCAAGAGATGCCTACAAAATATCAACGTCGAAGGTCTCAAGGACTCAATTAAGCGAGGGCTCTTCCGCCAATGCCTCAATGAAAAACTGTCAAACTTGAATTGCCACCAGTGGGATAATATGGGCAGCGCTTGGGATGCCCTTAAGCCCACAATCATTAACACCTGTAAAGAGATACTTGGAGTCTCTACCAAGAGACAGCAAGACTGGTTTGATGAGAATAATCAGGAGATCCAAGAGTTCATCGCTCACAAACGCCGAGGCTTTTTGTGCTTGGTAAAATGATATCAAATTCCAATCACCAACAAGCTAAGGCAGCGGTCCAGAGAAGGGCCCGCGATATGAAAAACAGATGGTGGGAATTCATATTCTTGGGTCTTTCGATAAAGTCACGTAGATTGGTCCGAAGAAAATAACAAAGAATTGCGACATTTCGATCGAAGCACAAGCGTTCGTCATCAGGAAGAAAAAAGAGGGGGACAGCTGACGAGGCAGACTGTTTTAAAGGTTTCAAATGGGTGTAGCCCAAGGGTCATTAGCGAAGTGGCCGAGGCTAGTAATGTTAATGTGAGAAATTAGCATGTTAATTTAAGATTTGAGGGCGACCTCCACGACGAGGGCAGAGAAGTGGCTATGTTAATATGAGAGATTAGCATGTTAATGTGAGATCGGAGAGCGGCCCCTACGTGTGCGCGGAGGTGTCTATGTTAATGTGAGAGATTAGCATGTTAATGTCAGATCGGAGAGCAGCAACATTGAGCTTGGTGAGCGAGGTGGCTGTGTTAGTGTGGAAAATTTAACCTGTTAATGTAAAATCAGAGAGCCGAAAATAACAACTCACATCGGAAAGTGGTAGGGTGGGAACATCACAGCCAGTTATTACTTAAACTGGTTGATAACATCCTTCCAATGATTGATCAGTTTATACTGATCGATTGATGTTGTGTCTGTGGATGGCTTCATTAACGAATCTTTGTTGATAGCCAGTGGGTTTGCTACGTAGACCTGGGCAATGGTATCATCAAATGGGATGTGTTTAGGAGTGACTGCAAAATTCAACCCTTCGGCTAGAACCGATTTTAGGCTGTCAGAAATTTGATTTTGACTTGATTGATAACAGTCTTGTCAACATCTAACTTTTTGATGTGTGGATCTGGTTTCTTCTTGGAAAGGAGGTTGAACTGGGAAATCAGGTTATCTTTGCATTTAGCTAACTTTGAGGCAGCTGAAGAAATTTTTTCCGTCAATTTTAAGTGTGATTCAGGAAAGTCTTGTCTAAATTGTCCAGTTCAAATGGGAGCAATCGTATTCTCTCTGAAACCAGGGCTAGGCCAGCCCTGAACAAGATCCTTTTAGCATTGGTTGAAGTGACATCTACAGATGTCAGTGTAAAGGCGATCGGTATTACTTTAGTATTGCTGCATCTCTTCAGAAATGTGAGCGACTCGATCAGACGTTAGTTGTTATTTTCGGCTCTCTGATTTTACATTAACAGGTTAAATTTCCCACACTAAAACAGCCACCTCGCTCACCGAGCTCGACGTTGCCGCTCTGCGATCTTCCATTAACATGCTAATCTCTCACATTAACATAGCCACCTCCACGCGCACGTGGAGGCCGCTCTCTGATCTTACATTAACATGCTAATCTCTCACATTAACATAGCCACCTCCACGCGCATGTAGAGGCCGCTCTCCGATCTTACATTAACATGCTAATCTCTCACATTAACATAGCCACGTCCACGTGGAGGCCGCTCTCTGATCTTGCATTAACATGCTAATCTCTCACATTAACATAGCCACCTCCACGCACACATAGAGGCCGCTCTCCGATCTTACATTAACATGCTAATCTCTCACATTAACATAGCCACCTCCACGTGGAGGCCGCTCTCTGATCTTACATTAACATGCTAATCTCTTACATTAACATAGCCACCTCCACGTGGAGGCCGCTCTCTGATCTTACATTAACATGCTAATCTCTTACATTAACATAGCCACCTCCACGCGCACGTAGTGGCCGCTCTCTGCTCTTACATTAACATGCTAATCTCTCACATTAATATAGCCACGTCCACGTGGAGGCCGCTCTCCGATTTTACATTAACATGCTAATCTATCACATTAACATCACTAACCCCGCCCACGTGGAGGCCGCTCTCCGATCTTACATTAACATGCTAATCTCTTACATTAACATAGCCACCTCCACGTGGAGGCCGCTCTCTGATCTTACATTAACATGTTAATCTCTTACATTAACATAGCCACCTCCACGCGCACGTAGTGGCCGCTCTCTGCTCTTACATTAACATGCTAATCTCTCACATTAATATAGCCACGTCCACGTGGAGGCCGCTCTCTGATCTTACATTAACATGCTAATCTCTCACATTACCATAGCCACCTCCACGCACACGTGGAGGCCGCTCTCCGATTTTACATTAACATGCTAATCTATCACATTAACATCACTAACCCCGCCCACGTGGAGGCCGCTCTCCGATCTTACATTAACATGCTAATCTCTCACATTAACATAGCCACCTCCACGCACACGTGGAGGCCACTCTCCGATCTTACATTTACATGCTAATCTATCACATTAACATCACTAGCCCCGCCCACTTCGTTTATGACTCTTGGGCTACGCCCATTTTAAACCTTTAAAACAGCCTGCCTCAGCAGCTGTCCCCCTCTTTTTACTTCCTAATGACGAACGCTTGTGTTGCGATTTAAATGTCGTAGTTTTTTTGTTATTTTTTATCATTTTATTTGAACCAATTTACGTGACTTCACCAAAAGACCCAAGAATATGAATTCCTGCAGTCATGAAAGCTTTAAGTCAAGAGATGGTGGGAATATAAGGAGACAGAGATCCAATAATGCGCGGCTTTTTCAGTGCCACCAGAAGTGCCTATGGTCAGAGCACTCAGGGACCAATCCCCCTAAGGACTAAGAATGGAGGAGATCTGATCAAGCAATGAAGAACAATAAATAGCATCTGGAGCTGAACTCTTCAAACAAGGGGCAGAGGAGCTCACGTCATGGCTTCAAGCACTATTCTTAAAGATTTGAAAACACGAGGAAATCCCAAAAGAACTCAAGGAGATGAATCCGATTTTGGAAATTACAGGGGGATCACCTTGCTGTCCACTGCAGAAAAGATCATTGCAATAACTCTCCTGAAACTGTGTTCTGTCACCGAATCCCAATGTGGGTTCACGTCATCGAGAGGCACAAATGGACTCAATTTTCGTTGCCTGTCAACTGCAGCAAAATGTCAGGAATAACACAAGCCTCTCTATACGGCCTTCTTTGACCTCACGAAAGCTTTTGATTCTGTCAACTGAGGAGCAGTGTGGAAGATTCTCCGAAAGTATGGATGTCCACTGAAATGTTTCACCATTCTTCACCTGCTGCATGATGGTATGCGAGCAGTGATTCTTAGCAACCTGTCAATCTAAGACCAAAATTTTGACTTAAAACTTTCGTGACTGCACGAATTCATATTCTTTGGTTCTTTCCGTAAAGTCACCGAAATAGAAAACAACAAAATAACAATAAAAACTCACGACGTTTCGATGACGACACAAGTGGTCGTCATCAGGCGGAGAGAAATGGGGGGGGGGGGGGGGGCAAGCCTCCAACTGCAACTGTTTATCAAGGCTTGAAATGGGTGTAGCCCAAGTGTCAGCAGGATTGGGGACAAGTGCAGCATGAATGGACGAGCCAAAGGTGCGGGGCACAAGAGCCGTGTGACCAGCCCTGAGCATCGAGCTGCGCAGTCCAAGTCTGTCAGCAGCATCGGCGGGGCAGCCAATGCTAATGCAGGAGAAGACAAAGGGGGAGAGAGAGGGGGGCAGAGCTAGGGAGAGAGAGAGGGGGGTAGAGATAGGGGGAGAGAGAGAGGATAGAGAGATGGGGGACATTCCACCTAGCTCCACACATCCACACTGCTGACGGTGGATGTTGACGAGAAATTACAAATCAAGTCATGACTGAAAGTGGTTGACGACAACTTTCCAATGATTGCTGAGTTTATAACCGTCTTCTCAGTTGAAATTGTGTCATCAACCACATTAACAGCACAACACTGCTGCCCGACTTACTAATGCAGTTCCACACCACCACTGCCACTCTTTCTGTAGATTCCGGATTGGTCTCTTCAGCTTTCTTTGGACCCACAGATAATCCATTTTTTCTATGGAAGACAATCATCCTCGATTGCGAGGGATAGCCTATGATCATAATGATATGAATGGAAGTTGCGCATCTAACAGATGATAAGCCGACGATGATCAGTAAAGCAAATTGGCTCCACGGTAGGTCTTTGGTGCCAAGAACATGGGCCCGCATTGTCACCGGTTTCCGTTACTGTTGTAGTCCAGCAGATGTTCTTGCCCTGGCCTCATAACGTTGTGTGGATGATGCAGCGATGCCGGAACAGCCATGTTTGGTGCTCAGAAGCCCATGGGCCACACAAACATGTCGTGGCCTACTACCATTTGTTATCGAGGTGATCTGGCCCATGCCTTCCAGTCACTCTGGTTTGTGTCATGGCTCGTCAGTTACACGACAAGATGACTTCCCAGATCTCCCTGCGTCACCTGTATCCCCACATCTCCCCATGCCTCCCCGTATGCCCGCATCTCCCCGTGTCCCCATGTCTCCCCGCGTTGCCCCGTGTCCTCCCGTGTCCCTGTGTCTCCCCGTGTCCCACTCCCCCCGTGTCCCCGTATCTCTCTGTGTCTCTATGCTTCCCCGTGACTCCGTGTCTCCCCGTGCCCCCCCCTCCCCCCCCTGCTCCATGTCTCCCCGCTTTGCAGGGAGAGCCACCGGAACGCGACGGGTGGTGCGGGCCGGGTGATGGTGACGCAGGCGAACTCCCCCATCAACTCCAACATCACGTACGACGCCAGCAAGAAGACGATCAGAGTGGACGAAAACCTGCACAACATTTTCATCAAGGTGCCGGCTGGCTCGCTTGCTCACTCCTTTGCTCGCTCTCCTGTTCATTCACTTGCTCATCTATTCGTTCGCTCGTTCGTCCGTTTGCTCACTTGATCGTTTGCTTGCTTTCTCACCCCTTCGCTTGCTCATTCACTAGCCCGCTCATTCACTCACTCGCCCGTTCATTCACTCGCTCACTCGCCCATTCATTCATTTATTCATTCGCTCGCTCGCTCGTTTCATTCGCTCCCTCGCCCGTTCATTCGCTCATCCGCGCACTTGTCCGCTCACTCGTTTGCCTACTTGCCCACTGTGTGTAAAGATGCTGTGGGTCATGATGATGATGACACCCGCAGTTTTGAACCGCAAAGCATCTGCAATAAGCGTTAAACGTGCTACTGCTACCCATGTCGTCATGATAACGATAATGGCTGCTACTGCTGAGGATAGTGTGAGGGCCGACGTCCGCCCTACCACCTTCGCCGGGCAGTTGGGGTGCAACGTTTGCCCCCTCCACTCTCTCCCCCACTCCCTCCTCCACCGCGCCGATCGGCTCCCGCCGGGCCCCCGCCGACTGGGTGATTGCCCCCCCCCTCCCGTGTTAGCGCCCCCTCTGAGGTACATAGCTAAATCGCTGACTCACCACCGCACGGGGTTATTCCACACACGCACATACACTAACGCTAATGCTACGGCGGTGGCGAGCATGCGTGCGCCCCTGCCGGCGATCAGACCCTGCAAGCGATTAATTTAACACACACACACGCACGCGCGTCGACGAGTGGTTTTAACTCACCCCGCCCCCGACCTAATACTCGCGTGGCACGGTTGCATGGGCGCGCGAGCGTCAGCGGCTGTTTATGTTTTAAATACACGCGTTCCTCACACACACACACTCAAATTACCAACACCACGCCAAGGTTCCACCCACACACACAGAAATGACACTGCACCGACACTCTATACTAAAGTTTATTGATGGCGCAAATACACACTACCTGGGGGGGAATATTTTACGAGAAGATCTTAGCCTAACTGTGCCTAAGAACCCAGTCACTCAAACGTCCTACCACGTACCTCAAAGCTATACTCACTGCGTCGCACGGACGCTGTGAGAGTCGGAGGGAGAAGGACGAGAGAAAACTTTACCTATCACTGCCTCGTAGTAGCACTCGCTGGCATCACACGGATGCTGCGAGCGGCTCGAGGAGGCAGGACGACAGGGAGTTGGTCTTGACGGCCCAGAGGTTTAAGACAAGAGCCCAAAATCTTCCCGGGCTACTCCTTTTATTCCCTTAACTTCAAAGACCCGGGGTGCCATTGTACCAAGTGGCCAATCATGCGCTTACCTGTGGTTACCCCCCCCCTCCCCACCCTGTTACCATGTCCTTCCTCGAGTCCACGGCGGCGGTCGCCGGCCACCCATTGTCCCTTGTTGCCCATTGTCTGGAAGGGCGCTTGCGCTTTTCTTGCTTAATATTCTGCCCTCCGTCCTCCCCCCAATGTTGTGAGTAACTCATTGCGGTTGGCCCAGGGATTCTGCGCCCATACAATTTTAAACCAATTTTAGGGGCATTGCAATGTGATTTGGCGCTTTCGTGACTGCAGGAATTATTCTTTTTTGTGTCATTTATTATTTTCTATTTATACATGACTTTACCGAAGGAACCAAAGACTAAGCATTGCAATGTAACCTATCCTGCGAGGGTCAGCCAATCTCCTGGCACCGGGAAACCGTGGGACTTTCCCTCCAGGGCCCTTTCGGATTAAAACCCGATGTGCCAGGCAATCCCCTGCCAGGACACTATGTGGGTGCAAATGCTGCGTGTGTGCGTGTGCTCAGGGTGGGGGGTAGTGGACAATTGCAGCGCTTGTGGAGTTGCTCCACGGTCGTGGCACCACAATAGCTGATGTGTATGTCGGCACTTATGTATGTTGAACCTCTTTCACACCATACATAGCCAACCGAGCTTATCGGAGATGCAGGGAAGGACAACAAGCTTAACACAAGTAGCACTTCTAAAGAAATGAGTTTTCAAACGAGGTGATGATTTAAAAGTGCATAACTCCCAGTGGCGTCATAATATCGGAAGGAAGAGCATTCCAGACGGCCGCAGGAGCCCATCTAAAAGGGCGTAATGCGGTGACCATCTTTGTTCGATGGGCAGCCAGAAGCCGCTGCGAGGTATTGTGTTTCATTTGCGGCAAGCACTTTATGTGTAATGAACGCGACCTTGTAACGAATTCGTTTGACGAGTGGAAGCCAATGCAGCTCAGCGAGCACTGGACGGACACGGTCGGATCTTGCAGTATCCCGTCATGACACGCGCTGGGGAATTGTGTACACGCTGCAGCTTGGTATTGTTTTTTTGCCAGACATCCCGTAGAGTAGCGAGTTGCAATAATCGAGCCTCATCGATACTACGCTACACATACACCACCGTGTTGGGGTATGTCACAACCCAACAGTGGTCGAATGTGTCCGTAGAGCCCGGATGTGAACATTGCAGGACCTGGCTACATTTTGCATGCGGCAATCAAACGGCACATCCTGGTCGAGTGTGGTGCCGAGGCTCTTCAGATACGAGTAGAAAACTGAATCCTGGAGTCCGTGACTGTCACAGCCTCATCTTCCCGCAATTCTTGTCGCCCCGAGCCCGAGTGACCAACGAGCAGAACCTCCGATTTAGTTTTGTTTTTTACCGGATCAAGCAGCGCTTCCGTTACGTGCAGCGAAACCTCCACGCGCGAGCGCCGCGGAATGCACGAGGCTTTCCGCATCTTAACCGTGACGTCACCGCGGTGTGCAACTGTCTGTCGTCGGCACATTGATGGTACTCGATGTCGAGACGACATTGGTGATCTGAGAGACGCGCGTTGTAAGACAGGAAGGGCCCGAGAGGGCGAAAACTCCCCCGCGGAACGCCGACTGAGGCACAGCACAGGCGATGGCTGATCATCGCCCGGCTTGGCGAACGTTGATCGGCCACATAAGGGACGACTCAATCCACCCCAGCGCCGTACCCAAGGCACCAAACCTTGACCTGAGCCGCTCGATGAGTACTTGCCTATGGAAAAATAATAATCGGTCTTTGATCCTTTCTGGCAATAAAACAGTTGTGTTACGATGTTAAAGCGACGAATAGAAACCTTTTTTTTGCAAGGGATCAAGTTACTGCATTAACCACACACAGCCACTTGTGGGGAACGTGGAAACAAACATGCTCTGATAGTTATAATACATGGGCGTTGTCTTTGAAATTGATGGCCTACGCCAGGGACAGCAGCAGACTTCTTTATGGCCTATTGTCACCAACAGTGTCAGACCTAGAGAACGCCAAAGGCGAACAGTGACAATGTCCATATATTATCGGAGCACGTTTGTTTGCATGTTCATCACAAGTACTGTGTGTGGTTAATGCAGTACTTGACTCCTTGATAAATGTTGCTATTTGGTGTTTTAACACCTGTTTAATTGCCAGAAAGGGTAAAACCTCTTGTTTTTTTATACTTTGATACTGGCAAAAAGGTCCCATTTTTAATACGTACCTGTCAACCCAGTATTTATTGTACAGGGAAATTGCGTTTTCAAGTCCATACGGCGTACAGCAGTTTAAATACGGGAAAAAAGCATAAATTTGGTCTATTTGTATGTGTTTCTCCCTTGTGATGGGACTTTGTAGTACGAACGTTGAGATTTATAAAGGCACGGGGTGACCAATAGGGTCTGAATTTGTCTGTAATAAGGTAGGGCACTGATGAGGAGTTGACAGGTTATGTGAGTATCTCGCAGTCGATGGGTTATCAAAGATGGCTGAGAGATCGAGGCCAAACCAATGCTGTGGCACAGTGGCCATCCACCGTCTTACAGAGGTCATCCACGTTCTTACAGAGGTCATCCACGTTCTTACAGAGGTCATCGGTGGTCTTTAGTGGAGCCGTCCCGGTGCCTTGGGGCTTCCGGGCACGCCGATCGCGATGGCTTGAATGTGCCCGTCGCAGCGACGTGGGGAAGTCGCGACCGCTATCAGGCACGGGCGCTCTATGACCTTTGAAATCGTACTCGGGTTCGAGATTGGGGCAATATATTTTTATGCGGAGTTGCCGTGGCTCAAGCCAAATTTGATCAGGAGCGCTGATACCTGCGCCGATTTTGAACTGGTCTGGGAAACAGCTCTCTGTATGACATCGTCGTGACGGGTCGGCGAATAATCGGCAAATTCCACTTTGCACATCATGAGACTGCTACCTGAAGTAGCCCCCCCACGTCTTCGATGACAAAGTCGGTCACGGTTGCGGCATCGGCGGATTTGAATACGTGATCCAGATGATGATGGCTGATATTGACAGCTGCTGATGATGACGGCTGCTGATGGCTGATGATGATGGCTGATGATGATGGCTGATAATGACAGCTGCTAATGACAGCTGCTGATGGTGATGGCTGATGATGATGGCTGATAATGACAGCTGCTGCTGATGATGGCTGATGATGGTAATGGCTGATGATGGTGGCTGATGATGGTGGCTGATGATGGTGGCTGATAATGACAGCTGCTAATGACAGCTGCTGATGATGATGGCTGATGATGATGGTTGATAATGACAGCTGCTGTAAATGATGGCTGATGACGGTAATGGCTGATGATAATGGCTGATGATGGCTGATGACGGCTGATAATGACAGCTGCTGCTGATGATGACTGATGGCGATGGCTGACGATGATGGCTGATGATGGCTGATAATGACAGCTTCTGATGATGATGGCTGATGATGGTGATGATGATGGCTGATTATGGCTGATGATGATGGCTGATCATGACAGCTACTGCTGATGGCGGCTGATGATGGCGGCTGATGATGTTGGCTGATGATAATGGCTAATTATCATGGCTGATAATGATGGCTGATGATGACGATGATAGCTGATGATGATGATAGCCGATGATGATGGTGATGTGGCTGCAGGAGTTCCCCGAGCAGAGTGGGCGCTACCCTCGCTGTGCCGTCGTGGGGAACGGAGGGATCCTCGTCAACAGCTCCTGCGGCTCCCAGATCGACGCAGCCGACTTCGTGATCCGGTGAGAGGGAGGAGGGGGAGGGCGAGAGGGGAGAGGGAGGGAGAGAGGGAGGGAGATGGAAGGAGAGGGAAGAAGAGTGAGATAAGCGAGAGAGAGCGAAAAGCGATAGAGAGAGAGGGCGAGAGAGAGTGAGCGACACCACAAATGCGAAGGAGGATGCACTACCACAGTGCTACAACCACTGCGCTACGAACCAGGCAGGAGAGAGGGAGGGAGATACTTGTTTTGGTATTTTTAAACTACCTTTATTGCTGCCAGCAGCAATGAAAGAAGCACTGGAGCCGATTTCGATAAGCAAAGCGACATCGACTACAGCGTCACGTCACGTAACAAAGCAAAGTGACATCGACTACAGCGTCACGTCACGTGGTACGTGGTGCCACGCGCGTCACCACGCGCAACACGAGCAGCGCGTCGTTACGCCGGGCCTCCCTCGACGGAGAAGCAAGCTCTTTTGAAGGCGAAATGCCGAATGCCGTATTCGCTGGTGCATGGGGCGGTGCTGGCTCTCACCGCCAGGCATCGCCTTATAAAAGTCGCCTGTAACGTTGCACCGGTGACGAAAGACGCCGCGGCCCTCACGGGAACGAAGGGCTCGATCCCATCTCTGAGAGTGAAAAGCGATCGGTTTTGACTCTCACGCCGGGAGCAAAAGTGTCTTCTCTCTTGCTCTCTCTTAGGGCAGGGCAAGTGGAGGGGGGGACATTGCTGCACCCGATTGTGTGCGGATCAGAGTTCGATCGAAGAAGGGATTCCAGAATCTGTATTCGTCCTCGAGAAATCCGATGATCTGTGAAGCTCTTCTTCGACAGATGTCCAGTAAAGGGCACGGGGTCAGAATCTTGCGACAGAAAACGACGTGAAAAAAACGATAGGAGTGCAAAGTAAAGGAAAGTTAAAGAAATCGCTTGAAAACAAAAAGGTAAAATAGATTAAGCATACACAGTCAAATTGCATGAGTACAATAGAATTGCACAGGTAGCTCTGTGATATCGACTTCCACGGATTCCGTTCTGCGTCTCGACTATCGTGCCACTTGAATGAAAGGGAATCTCAGAGGTAGCTCTGCGATTTCCACTTCCGCGGGTCCGTTTAACAACAACACCACGGGGGGGGGGGGTATCCTGCTGCTCCACAAGATTTCCAAATGGATTCCTTGACGATGACGCCGATGGCACGTTGTTTATAACTCTGAGTGGGTGAGTCTGTGAGTGAGCATTGGTGATGGTGGTGCATTGTTAAGGACCCTTAGTGGGTGAGTCTGTGAGTGAGTGGTGGTGGTGCATTGTTTAGATCCCTGATTGGGTGAGTCTGTGAGTGAGCGGTGGTGGAGCCTCGCTTAGATCCCTGAGTGGGTGAGTCTGTGAGTGAGTGAGTCAGTGGTGGTGGTGGTTCGTTGTTTATAATCGTGAGTGGGTGACTCTGTGAGTGAGTGGCGGCGTTGTCTCCTCTGTGTAGCTGTAACCTGGCTCCTGTGGACGGGAAGTTTTCCAACGACGTTGGGATGAAAACAAGTTTGGTGACAGCGAATCCCTCCATCATCATAAAGAAGTGAGTGTGTGTGTTTCAGGGGTGTGTGTGTGTGTGTGTGCATATCAGGGGTGTGTGAGTGTGTGGTGTAGTGGCAAAACAACCCCCTACCTCCTCGTTGGTGCCGGACAGTAACACTGTGGTGAGCAGTGCCATGGGGGGAGAGATCATTTAGATTGGCCATTCCCCTCATGGCGTTTGTAGCCACCACATGGGCCAAAGGAACGAGGGGCTGGTAACCCCTCCACCTTCAATCCAAGTACCACTAAACCACGGAATAAAAATCTAACTAAGCTTGTGCCGGAGGCCCTGGGGGAACAGGCGTCTATGACGTCTCCTGTCCAAACCCCATTTGGTGGAGTCAGGAGATTGAATCCTTACCCTCGGGATTCCTTCAGAAACAGCAAAAAGCCACTGTCCGTAGCCACGTGGAATATTTGAATGCTCACTGGGGAGGAAAGGCTGCCACTCTTCTGTCGGGAGCTGGACTGGTACCGCCTGGATCTCTGTGGTATTCAGGAAGTCCAGTAGACTGGCCCTGGATCCTACCATCATGAGGGGTGGACAGTCCTCTACTCGGGGCAGGAGACTGCCAAACAACAGGGAGTGGCTCCTCTTCTGAACAAAATAATGAAGAGGGCGTGGGATCGTGGTGATGAGGTGTGGGAAGCTGTAGGCCCCAGGCTACTTTCGGCTCGCCTTCCTATCAACCAGAGGCGAGGAGTGGTGGTCGTGGTTACTTATGTCCCCACTGAAGACGAACATCAGTGGAGGGATTCAGGCAAGGCCGATGAGTCAGATGCCTTCTATGACCTCCTGTTGGGTGACTTCAATGCCTGAGTTGGTCATGATGCTGGCACGTGGTTTGGAGTGATTGGAAGGCATGGGCCAGATCAGCTCAATAGCAACGGTAGAAGGCTGCTAGATTTTTGTGCAGCCCATGGGCTTGTAATTACCAACACACTGTTCCAATATTGGTGCATCCACACAACATCATTAATGCATATCGGGTCCAAGGAAGAACATCTGCTGGACTATATAGTGATGGAACAGTGGATGCGGGCCCATGTCCTTGACACCAGGGCCTACCGTGGTGCTGATCTGCCCACTGACCATCGACTTGTCATCTGTTAGATGCGCCTGCCATTATTCCACTCTGGTGGTGGGTGTACACCCAGGACCCCTTTCAAACCCATAGTAGCCTGGTCTCAGTTATCTGATGAAAGTTGCAAGTTAGAATTTCATCATCGCTTGCAAATGGGGTTGGCATTGTCCCCAACTCCTCCTGATTTCGAGGAGAATTGGGCCAGGTTTAGGACTGTGACTCATGCAGCTGCAATGGCTGCTTTTGGTACACGGTCCAGACCTCCCCAGAGACCCTGATTGACAAAGGAGGTGTTCAGGCTGGCTGAGAAAAAGGGACAGGCCCACTCTCATCGTCTACAGCATCCCACATAAGAGAATGAGGAGGCTTACCGCAGCCTTCGCTCGGAGATTTGGAGAGCCGTGAGGCGCTGCAAAGATGGGTGGTGGTCGCGGGTTGCTGAGGAGATGGAGTCTGCCTCAATGTCCCGCGATCACAAATCGCTATTTAATTCCATTAAAAAAGTAACCTGCAACACCACACCTATTATCATCATTAGGGGAAAGAACGGTGATCCAATCTCCAACCCCCATGAACAGATTTGCAGATTTGCTGAGCATTTCTATGAGGTCCTGGGGGAGGGAAAATCCCTCAGCCTGGAAAACATTATGGGATAAAGTGGGGATGACCATGCTGAGGCTCCGGTGCCGCAAATATTGGAAGAAGTCACCCACTGTGAGTGGCTGGCTGAAGTGCCATCTGTTGAGGAAGTACTGAGGGCGATCCGGAGTCTGAGACCAGGAAAGGCACCAGGTAGAGATGATCTCCCAAGCGAAATGCTGAGGGAGGGTGGTGTTTGTGCACAGACTGCCCTACGTGACATGATAACAACAGACTGGACCACTGGACAGATTCCGCAGGATTGGAAAGGGGACCGCACATACTGTAACAACTGCGGGGACATCTCACTCCTCAGTGTGCCGGGAAATGTCCTGGCAAGGATTATTCAACATCGCCTTGCCAAGCATGTTGAGGAGAGGCTTGCAGAGCCCCAACGTGGTTTCAGGAAAGGGCGGTCCTGCACGCATGCCATATTTTCTGTCTGTCTGCTACAGTAGAGGTGTAGGGAATTCCAAAAAGACCTACATCTCTGCTTTATTGACCTTGGTAAGGCCTATGATACCATCAGTTGGCCTGGGCTCTGGGTTGTTCTTAATGCTTTCGGAGTCCTTGACTCTTTGCTCACAATCATCAAGGACCTTAATGATTGTGAGCGGGCCTGGGTAAAACTACGTGGCCAGGAGTCGGAGCCATTCCCTGTTCACCTAGGGGTGCGACAGGGATGTCCTCTGGCTCCTACATTATTTAACATCTATTTCGACCACGTGGTTTGTGAAGGCTTTGATGGCTGTACCAGAGAAATTTCCATCTGGTACAGATAAAATGGGAGGCAGATTGATAACCGGGTCAATCATATATTGTATGCCGATAATCTGGTAATTACTGCTCACTCACAGGAGTTGGAGGCACTGCTGCTAAACCTGGAGCGTGCCACTAAGAGGTGGGGCCTTACCATCAACCCCACGAAAACTCAGCACCTGCCTCGATGTTTTGTACCATCAGACACTCCACCCCCCTAACTCCCAATTGGTGATGGGATAGTTGTGGAGAGAGTGGAGAGTTTCCTATACCTGGGCAATGTGCTCATGACCGGCTCTGGTTTGACAGCAGAGGTCTCACTCCGAATTGGTCGAGAGGCATTATCTTTTCATCGGTTGCGTAATGCTGTGTGGAAGCTACCTGGTCTGTTGCTCCACATGAAGCTTCAGGTCTTCTCGGCCACAGTCATTCCCTCCCTTCACTATAATTGCGAAACGTGGACCTCCCTAATGGAGCATCTTCGCCGGTTAGAAACATTTAGGCTGGCCTGCCTACTATCCATCCTGGGTTTAACCAGGCTAGATTGTGTGAGGAGCTCAAAAATCCTTGAAAGATCTGGACAAAGTCCCATCGGTGAGCTCCTCTGGCAGGCAAGGCCTGCTTTGGCTGGGTCATGTAGCCTGCATGCCCAGCCACCGCATGCTTAAAGACATTTTGTTCGGCCGGATAGAGGGGGATAAACGGGCGCGGCACGGGCTAGAGAAGAGATGGAGTGACGTGGTACAGGAGGACATGGAGCTGAGTGGAATTGCCGATGACTGGTACCAGCAGTGTCAAGATCGGCCTCTGTGGAGGAGGCCCGTGAAGGACGCTACTGGGCAGTTGGAGGCAGTCACCCTCCAACTACAACGGAGGGGGGGAGGAGCGGCGCTCACAACAACGAGCGGAGCGCCGGGTGACTAAAGCACAGCAAGTTGGCACAGTGGGGGGCACAGGTGGTGCATCGGCCAGTTATCTCAGTCAGTCGACCCGTGGCACCTGGGACTGCCCGTGACCTCCTGCAGGCGGGAGTTCGACACTTCACGAGGCCTCAACATGCACATAGCCTGGCACAAGCACTGTGGTGACGTCACCACCACTTAGTGGCGAATGGCGGTTGTTGTTGGTGTAGCGGTTAGCGTTATGCAGCTTTATGGACCCGTGACCAGAGTTCCATTCCAGTGACGATTATCTGATTGGTCATGCGCCTCCCCGAGGTCGAATCAGCCTCCAATGAGGACCTGGTGCGGTGTGTAAACATCGTCACTGGCGGAGACAGAGGCAGCCCGGGTGGTGCTGGCCACCCCACCCCATCGTGTGCCTACCGGCCGTCGTAGATGCTCGCTAACAGCACTTGCCCCAACAGTCTGTTACAGGCTATGCAGGGGATCTTTGTATTTGTGTATGCCATGGATGTGTGTGTATGTTGTTAGGTGTGTGTGTTTGTGTGTCAGGTTAGGTGTTGGGAGCGGTAGTGCAGCGATTAGCATGCTGCGCTACGAACCCGGCCACCCGAGTTAGATTTCAGTGACGATTCTTTTAGCCAATCCGGCGTCTTCCCTCGGTCGACTCAGCCTCAAATAAGTACCTGGTGTGGTGTGTAGTAAACATCACCACTGGGGAGACTTAGGCGGCTGGTGGTGGTGCTGGCCACCCTGCCTTGAGTGTGCCGTGCCGGCCTTACATATGTGCAGATCGCTAACAGCACGTGCCCCAGCAGCCCGTTGAATACTGTGGGGGGCTGGGGATCTTTATCTTTTACTTCGTGTGCATGGCTCTGCCAGGAAAGGGCGCAATAACAGCAACGTGTGGCCTCATCTCCACGTGTGGGTTTGGAATAGAGCGTTTCCCCCTCGCACGCGATTATTTTCTTTGTCTATTTTGCTCCGGGCGCTCGGGATTCCTTCTACACCAGGCCGTACCAAATCTCGACGAAGCCACGAGTGTCAGCGCGCATCGCTGGCCGCAATGGGTCCTCGACAGCACTTTCCCTGACAAGTCTGGAGGGCTACGCAGGGTGATCTTTGCGTGATTGTGTCTCCGCAGATTCCAGTCGCTCAACGCCAGGCGAACGCCCTTTGTCAAGGAGATGGAGGCATATAAAGACACCATCATCCTCGTGTCCGGCTTCTCATTCGCAGCCCTAACACCAATTGCCATGAGGGTACGTAGACACTCACAAATGCAGACACTCACACAGACACTCACACACTTACTCACTCACACAGATGCTCACACTTACTCACTCACACATACGTTCACTCACAAACAGAAACTCACACAGACACTCACACACACACACACAGACGATCACTCACACACAACAACAACCGCCATTTGCCACTAAGTGGTGGTGATGTTACCACGACGCTTGTGCCAGGTTATGTGCACCTTGAGGCAACGTGAAGTGTCGAACGCCCGCTGGCAGGTCATGGGGCAGACCCAGATGCCACAAGTCGACTGACTGAGATGACTGTCTGATGCACCACCTGTGCCCCCTACTGTACCAACTTGCTGTGCTTTAGCCACCCGACGCTCCACTCGTTGTTGTGAGCATCGCTCCTCCACCCTCCGTTGTTGTTGGAGTGCGACTGCCTCTAACTGCACAGACGCGTCCTTCACGAATCTCCTCCACAGAGGCCGATCTTAACACCGCTGGTACCAGTCAACGGCAAGTCCATTCAGCTCCACATCCTCCTGTACCACATCACTCCTCTTCTCTAGCCCATGCCGCGCCCGCCTAGCTACGTCGATCTGGCCGAACAAAGCTGTTTAGGCATGCGGTGGCTGGGCAGGCGGGCTACATGGCCCAGTGAACGCAGTCTTGCCTGCCGGAGGAGCTCACCGATGGGACCTTGCCCAGATCTTTCAAGGATTTGTGAGCTACTCACACAATCCAGCCTGGTTAAACCCAGGATGGATCATAGGCAGGCCAGCATAAATGTTTCTAACCAGCGAAGATGTTCCATTAGGGGGATCCACGTTTCGCCAGCGTAGAGAAGGGAGGGAATGACTGTGGCCGAGAAGACCTGAAGCTTCGTGTGGAGCGACAAACCAGGTAGCTTCCACAAAGCATTATGCAAACGATGAAAAGATAATACCGCTCGACTGATTCAGAGTGAGACCTCTGCTGTTAAACCGGAGCCGGTCATGACCACACTGTCCAGGTATGGGAAGCTCTCCACTCTCTCCACAACTGCCCTATCATCAATATGGGAGTTGTGGGGGTGGAGTTTCCGATAGTACAAAATACCCAGGCAGGTGCTTAGTTTTGGCGGGGCTGATGGTAACGCCCCACCTTTTAGTGGCAAGCTCCATATTCAGCAGCAGCACCTCCAACTTTTCCTCTGAGTGAGCAGCAATTACAAGATCATCGGCATCCATAACATGGTTGAACAATAGGGAGCCATCCCTTGACCGCACCCGGGCATCGATCAGCCTCCCATTGTATCTGTACCAGATGGAAATTCCTCCGGTACAGCTATTGAAGGCTTCATGAACTACGTGGTCAAAATAGATGTTAAATAATGTGGGAGCAAGAGAACATCCCTATCACACCCCAAGGTGTACAGGGAATGACTCTGACTCCCGGCCACGTAGTTTTACCCGGGCCCGCTCACCATCATGAAGGTCCTTAATGATCATGAGCAGAGGGTCAGGGACTCCGAAAGCACGAAGAACAATCCAGAGCCCAGGCCTACTGATGGTATCATAGGCCTTGACCAGGTCAATAAAGCAGTGATGTAGGTCCTGTGGGAATTCCCTACACCTCTGCTGTAGCAGACGGACAGAACATATGGCATCTGTGCAGGACCGCCCTTTTCTGAAACCGCATTGGGGCTCCGCAAGCCTCTCCTCAGCATGCCTAGCAAGGCGATGTTGAATATTCCTTGCCCGGCACACTGAGGATTGAGATGCCCCTGTAGTTGTTACAGTCTGTGCAGCCCCCCTTATTAAAGAGTGGGACCACCAGGGAATCCTTCCAATCCTGCGGAACCCGTCCAGTGGTCCAGAACATTATTATCTGCACACAAACGCCACCCTCCCTCAACATTTCGCTTAGGCGATCATCCTTGCCCAGCACTTTCCCTGGTCTCATACTCCATATCGCCTTCCGTACTTCCTCAATGGATGGCACTTCAGCCAGCCACTCACAGTGGGTAACTAATTCTTCCAATATTTGAGGCATCGCAGCCTCAGCACGGTCATCCCCACTTCACCCCAGATATTTTCCAGGCTGAGGGATTTTCCCTCCCCAATACCTCGGCAAATCTTCAAACCTGTTCTTCGGGGTTGGAGATTGGATCATCTTTCCTTCTCCTAAGGATTGTTATTGGCATGGTGCTGCAAGTTACTTTTTAATGGAGTTCAAGATCGATTTGTGATCGCAGGCTACTGAGGCAAATTCCATCTCCTCAGCATCCCGCGACCACCACCCAAGCTTGCAGCGCCTCACGGCTCTCTAGACCTCCGAGCGAAGGCTGCGGTAAGCCTCCTCATTCTCCGACGTGGGATGCTGCAGACGGTGAGAAAGCTGGAATGTTTCATCCATCGGCCAGGGTCCATAGGGAGGTTTGGACCGTGCACCCCAGCAGCCATTGCAGCTGCATGAGCCAGAGTCCTAAACCTCGCCCATTTCTATATTCTTTGGGACTTTCGGTAAAGTCACGTAGGTAGGTTCACAGAAAATAACAAAAAACTACAACACAAGCGGTCGTCATCAGGAAAAAGTTCGCCAATTTCTCCTCTGCATCAGGAGGAAGCGGGGGGGGGGGGGGGGGGGGGGGGTCGATGCTTACGCCACCTGCAAGCAATGATGAAATTCTCGCTTACAACCTTCATGAGCTAGCTGAGACCAGGCCACTTTGGGTTTGCATGGGGTCCTAGATGGACATGGTGTCCTATAATGGTAGGCGCATCTTACAGATGACAAGCCGATGGTCGATGGGCAGATCAGCTCCACGGTAGGTCTTTGCGTCAAGGACCTGGGCCTGCATCCACTGTTCTATCACTATGTAGTCCAGCAGATGTTTTGCTTGGACCCGGCATGCACCCATGACTTTGTGTGGATGCGCTGATGCCGAAACAGTTTGTTGGTAATTACAAAGCCATGGGCTGCACAAAAAGTCTAGCAGCCTCCTACCCTTGTTATTGAGCTGATCTGGCCCATGCCTTCCGATTACTCCAGACCAGGTCCAAGCATCATAACCCACTCGGGCCTTACAGTCAGCCAACAGGATGACTCTATCCCGAGGGGCCACTGTGAAAGGAGGTCATGAAAGGCATCTGACTCATCGACCTTGCCTGCATCCCTCCACTGAAGTTAATCTTCGGTGTGGGCATAAGTAACCAAGACCACCACTCGCCTCTGGTTGATGGGGAGTCGTGCCCACAGTAGCCTGGGGCTTACAGCTTCCCACACCTCACCAACGCACTCCCACGCCCCTTTCATTATTTGTTCAGAAGAAGAGCCACTCCCTGTTGTTTGGTAGTTTCCAGACACACATTCTCACTTACACAGATGTACATATACTCGCTGACACAGTCTTTCACTCACGCAGACACTCACTTCTGCTTCTTCTTCTTTCGTATGGCTGATGTAGATGCAGAGTAACAAAAACTATTTCACATTCAGGTGGTCAAGCCGGATAACTCTCACACACACACACACACTCGTACATTCACGAACAACAACCGCCATTCGCTACTAAGTGGCGGTGAGGTCACCACGACGCTTGTGCCAGGCTATGTGCACCTTGAGGCCACGTGAAGTGTCGAATGCCCGCTGGCAGGAGGTCACGGGGCAGACCCAGGTGCCACATGGTCGACTGACTGAGACGAACGCACACCCATTCACACACAGACACTCACACACATAGGCACTGTCTGCCTGCCCATCCATCCGATTATCCACCTGCTCCTCTTTGCCCATACATCCGTCTGTGCATCTGTCCACGTGTCCACGTGTCCACGTGTCCGCCCTCAGCTCGTCTTCACGCTGGAGGACTTCGGAGCACAGCAGAGGGTCGCATTCTTCAACCCCGACTACATGAGGGCCATCGCGCGCTTCTGGAAGGGCCAGGGGGTGAAAGAGCCGCGACCCTCCTCGGGGCTCATGATGGTCAGCCTCCCTCCCCCACCCTCATCCCCCCACCCCCCCGCCCCACACACAAACCCCGTGTCTCCCAGCATCTCCACTGCGTCTCCCAGCAACTTCACATCGCACTCTCTCTCTCTCTCCACCTTTGTCTCCCCGTGTCTCCATCCATCTCCCCACATCTACACCCCACCACCACCAGCAGCACCTTTGTCTCTCCTTCATCTCTCCGTGTCTCTCCTTCTCCACGCGTGTGATCCCCCCCCCGCCCCCTCCCCCCCCCAGCGTCTCCCAACATCTTCACCTCTTCCCCCCCCCCAACTGCCCCCCCCCCCCCAGACGAGCGTGGCCATGGACCTGTGTGACGAGGTGCACGTCTACGGCTTCTGGCCGTTCGACCGGGGGGTCCCGGCCGGAGCGGGCGGTGTGGCGGTGAAGCTGACGCACCACTACTACGACGACCAGAAGCCCAACCGGCGCCACTCGATGCCCCACGAGTTCCTGGAGCTGCTGGCGCTGCACAGCCGCGGGGTGCTGCGACTGCACGTGGGGGAGTGCGCGGCGCCTTGAGGGGGGGACGCCGCCTCCAGGGACACGGGGGGGGGGGGGGTGGAGAGGAGGAGGATGGTGGGGGGAGGAGGAAGAGGAAGAGGAGGAAGAGAAGGAGGAAGATCGAGGCGGGGGGGAGGAGGAGGAGGCTGTCGAACCGGGCGAGGATCTTGTTGTTGACGTGGGGGCGCCAAGAGACGATGGTAGCGGTGATACTGATGGTGATGATGGTGGCGATGGTGGCGATGGTGGTGATGATGGGGATGATGAAGGTGATGGGGATGATGATGATGATGGGAGGAGGGGATTATTCCGCAATGGAGGGAAGAAGCGGACAGAGGAGTGAGGTGGCCTGCAGCCTGGGTGGGTGATGATTTCAAAGCGCACAGCTCCCAGTGTCTTCCAAACATTGGAAAAAAGAGCGTTCCAGACGGCCGCAGAAGCGGATCTGAAAGCGCGCGAAGCCATGACCGTCTATAGATTAGTGTATAGTGTAGTGTATAGTGTAGTGTATAGTGTAATGTATAGTGTATGGTGTAGTGTATGGTGTAGTGTATGGTGTAGTGTATAGTGTAGTGTATAGTGTACAGTGTAGTGTACAGTGTAGTGTACAGTGTATAGATTAGTGTACATTGTAGTGTATAGATTAGTGTACAGTGTAGTGTATAGTGTAGTGTATAGTGTAGTGTATAGTGTAGTGTACAGTGTAGTGTATAGTGTATATTGTAGTGTATAGTGTAGTGTATAGTGTAGTGTATAGTGTAGTGTACAGTGTATAGATTAGTGTATATTGTAGTGTACAGTGTAGTGTATAGTGTAGTGTATAGTGTAGTGTATAATGTAGTGTATAGTGTAGTCTATAGTGTAGTGTATAGTGTAGTGTGTAGTGTAGTGTATATTGTAGTGTATAGTGTAGTGTATGGTGTAGTGTATAGTGTAGTGTATAGTGTAGTGTATAGAAGTGTACAGAATGTAGTGTATAGTGTAGTGTATAGAACTGTACAGAATGTAGTGTATAGTGTAGTGTATATAAGTGTACAGAAGTGTATAGTGTAGTGTATAATGTAGTGTATAGTGTAGTGTATAGAAGTGTACAGAATGTAGTGTATAGTGTAGTGTATAGAAGTGTACAGAATGTAGTGTATAGTGTAGTGTATAGAAGTGTACAGAAGTGTATAATGTAGTGTATAGTGTAGTGTATAGTGTAGTGTATAGAAGTGTACAGAATGTAGTGTATAGTGTAGTGTATAGAAGTGTACAGAATGTAGTGTATTGTGTAGTGTATAGTGTAGTGTATATTGTAATGTATGGTGTAGTGTATAGTGTAGTGTATAATGTAGTGTATAGTGTAGTGTATAGTGTAGTGTATAGAAGTGTACAGAATGTAGTGTATAGTGTAGTGTATAGACGTGTACAGAAGTGCATATTGTAGTGTATAGTGTAGTGTATAGTATAGTGCATAGTGTAGTGTATGGTGTAGTGTATAGTGCAGTGTGTAGTGCATATAGCATCTGAGAGAGCGCAATGCAGTGACCACCTTTGTTTGATGGCCAGCAAAAATCCGCTGCTGCGAGGATGACGACCGGGAGTGGTCGTCAAGTTGTTTAATGCTCCTTGACGCGATCAGCGAGGTATTGTGGTTCATTTGTGGCAAGCACTTTGCGTGTAACGAGCGTTTCCTTTTAACGAATCGTTGATCAGATCCTGGATCAGCGCTGTCTTGTTGGCTATGGAGCATGCGTTGATCAGTTTGAAACGTGAAACGCGAACTGAACTATGTTATTTCACCAGGTATGGCCCACTATATAGATATTTTTTCAAAAGCGACCTGACTGTCACAAACGAGAGCCCAATGAAGCGGCTAATGATCGTGTGGGAATTTACAGGAGCCAAATAACTCTAAATGCATGTTTCAACATGTGTGGGGAAAAACCCGAGGACCCCGGAGAAGAATCCACGCCACCACGGGGAAAGAGAGAGACGCGCAAACTCCAAATATACAGCAGCAGCAGATGTCAGGGTGGGGATTGAACCTACGGCCTCCTGTATACCAGGCGAGGTAGTTAACATCTCCTAGCCACCGTGATGATGATGAGAGAGACACGCAAACTCCGAATATACAGCAGCAGATGTCAGGGTCGGGATCGAACCCACGACCTCCTGTAGACCCCAGTCGAGGTAGTTAACATCTCCTAGCCACCGTGATGATGATGAGAGAGAGAGAGACACACACAAATATACAACCCACAACCTCCTGTAGACGGGCGAGGTAGTTAACATCTCTCCCTCAAGTTGAGGAGCACCTGGTCCGTGGTTTGGTCCGATACCCGACTTTGTCGTCGTCGTCGGCAGCAGCAGCAGCGGAATTGCGATTGAAGGCGCCGTCATCCGTGATGGTGCGCACATTGCAGGGGCGGGAGAAGGAGGAAGAGAAACGACCCAGATCCGCGGGATAGCCACGGTGCGAGGTGGCATCGCGACAAAATTCTGGGCAGTTCGGGGACAGCCACGAGGTCTGTCAGTTGGGGGCAGTTAGCGGGCAGCCACGTGGGCTGTCAGTTGGGGGCAGTTAGCGGGCAGCCACGTGGGCTGTCAGTTGGGGGCAGTTAGCGGGCAGCCACGTGGGCTGTCAGTTGGGGGCAGTTAGCGGGCAGCCACGTGGGCTATCAGTTGGGGGCAGTTAGCGGGCAGCCACGTGGGCTGTCAGTTGGGGGCAGTTAGCGGGCAGTCACGTGGGCTGTCAGTTGGGGGCAGTTAACGGCAGCGACATGATCCGGGCGCAAACAGCCGGGCAGCAGTAGAAGCTCGAAGTCGAAGCGTGGCCATCGCTAGGTGCTGCTGCTGTGGGTCAGTGGGTGGATGGACGGGTGAGTGAGTGAGACAGTGCGTAAGTTGGTGAGACAGTGAGAAAGTGGGTGGATGGATGGCTGAGTGAGTTAATGATTGAGTGAGTAAGTGAAAGGGCGAATTATTGAGTGAGTGAGTGGGTGACTGAGTGAGTGGGTGGATGAGTAAGATGGAGTTGGAGACTCTGCAACTGAACCTGGAGCGTGCCTCTAAGAGATGGGGGCCTTGCCATCAGCCCCACAAAAACAGAGCACGTTTGTTTGCATGTTCACCACACGGACGTGTGTGCTTAATGCAGACTTGGTTCCTTGGAACAGGTATATATGTTTGGTGTTCGAACATCCAAACACCCTGCTGGTTGATGTCCAGAAAGGGTAAAACCTATTCTTATTTTTGTCATACTTTGATGCTGGCAAAAAAGGTGCCGTGATAAAAAACAAAGCACCTGCCCGTTTACTTTCTGTCGTCAAATGCTGCCCTCCCATAGCTCCCCACGAGTGACGGGGCGATTGTGGAAAGAGAGCGGAGAAGTCTCCGTACCTGGGCAGTGTGCTTATGACCAACTGCGGTTTAGAAGAGGGGCATCATTGCCTCTTCATCATCTGCAAAATGCCGCTGTGTGGAAGCTACCTGGCCTGTCGCTCCACACGCTCGAAATCAGCGACGCCCGAAATCAGCGACGCCCGAAATCAGCGGCGTCCGAAATCAGCGACGCCCGAAATCAGCGACGTATAAAATCAGCGACGTCTTAATTCAGCAACGCTTGAAATCAGCGATGCCTGAAACCAGCGACGCCCGAAATCAGCGACGTCTCAATTCAGCGACGTCTGAAACCGCCGACATTTCCACTTCAGCGATGTTTTGACTTCAGGAGTAACGGGCGCACGACGAATAAATAAGTCTGAGCGATGCAACGCCCGAATAGGCGAGTCACAAGATCTGCGCTCGCGTCTCAAACGTCTTTGGGGGGTGGGGGGTGGGTGGGGGGAAAAAAAGACCACATTGTTTGTTTTCAAATTCGTCCGAATTTACAACGACGATCAACAACAACAACATCAACAACAACATCCACAATAACGCGCGTAAGAGAGCTCTCGGAGTGACCGGCACAGACAAAGAGCTCGTCAGCACAAAGCCCACTTGCTGGACTGCCCCTAAGCCCTCCTCCCGGGAGCACGGCGATTCGAGCGAGCGGGGGCCTAGCCGTGCGTCGAAGTCGATGGCAGTGTGCGTCTGCAAACGCTCCGCCACTGTCATGGACGAGCAACAGAGACCTCCACTTCACGTGGACTTTGGTCGACATTCTTACAATAGAGAAAGAGAGAGAGAGAAAGATCCCGGGATCCACACACGGAGCTCTGTGGAGGCACACACGCACACGCGGAGACCTATAGACTCCCGTATAAACCCACATGCCCAACGAGAGACATCCGCAGACTCTCATAGAGGTCCACGGATTCCAATAGATACCCGCGGAATCTTAAAATAAGAGACCCATAGAATCTCACGCAGAGACCCATCGACTTCCGCAGAGACCTATAGACTCCCGTATAAACCCACATAACCTCAGGGAGACATCCGTAGACTCTCATAGAGGTCAACGGATTCCAATAGATACCTGCGGAATCTTAAAAGAGAGAGGTCCATAGAATCTCGCGCAAAAAACCCCACAGGCTTACATGAAGAAACCGAGACTCACGTAGAGACCCGTAGACTCACTCAGACACACAGAGACCCGTAGATTTACACAAACACACATACCCGTAGACTCACACAGACACCCGTAGATTTACACAGACACAGAGACCCGTAGACTCATACAGACACACAGAGACCCGTAGACTCACACAGACACACTGAGCCCTACTCTTTGGCTCTTTCGGTAAAGTCACGTAGGTATAAATAAAATAAATAAAATCACGACGTTTTGGAAGCAACACAAGCGTCCGTCATCAGGTGGAACAGCCACAGCAAGAAACAAAATGCTGTAGTGGGCAAAAGAGCTGCTTGTGACAAGAGGCTCTATGGTACTTTCTATAAACAAAATGAGGGTATCCCCATGGGTTCCCGCTTATCACCAGTGATAGCGAATGTTTTCATGGAGAAATTTGAAACAGATGCCATCCAGACACCCACCCTACGTCCTTCCTTGTGGAAGAGATATGTGGATGACACTTTCGTCATTTGGCCACATGGCCTGCCAGCATAGAACCAATTTCTCAACCACATTAACTCCATACACCCATCCATCAAATTCACCATGGAGGTGGAGAAGGATGGTAAGCTACCATTCCTGGATGTTTCATTTGAGAAGAAACCTGATGGCTCTTTGGGACACTGTCTACAGGAAAGCCACCCACACAGATTCCTATCTGAAACCTGATTCCCACCACCATCCGGCACAGACGAATTCCCTCATCAAAACTACACCATAGGGCCCACTGCATTTCTGACCAACACCACCTAGCCAGTGAATTGGAACACCTACACCAGGCCCTTAAGATGAGTGAATATTCGGACCGCATTATCCGCAAACCTGTTTCTCCAACCATGGAGAAACAACCCACTGAGACGTAAATCATAACCATCACGTTACCATACATAGCAGGCGTTACCAAAAATATTTTCCAAAATCTTAAACAAACACAAGATCCAGGTCCGATTCAGTACAGTACACAAAATCCGTGATCTAATCCCATCCGTGAAGGATGTAATTCCTGACATGCAATACCCTGGAATCTACAATCTAAGTTGCACTTGTGGTGATTGTTACATTTGGGAAACGAAACGACATGTCTCTGACCGTATTCGCGAGCACAAGGCAGATCTGAAACACGGCCGAACTAACTCCTCCGCCGTGGCTGACCACTGCTATAACGCTGTGGGCTCTCATGATATTGCTTTTTTTCCGAGACCAAGGTGCTCTGCAAACCGTCAGGCTACTATCAAAGGTTTGTTCACGATGCCATCAGATATATAAACATAGACATAACTCCAACCGAAGAGATGGATACAAATTGAGCAGTCATTGGAAGGATGTTATTAACCAGGTAAAACCTTAACTGCTTCATAGTTTGCCTTCATATCCGCATCTCCAGTGTCTTCAGCCTTCTACCCCGCAGGCCCGCTCACTGCCCAGCCCCGGCATTGTGTCGCACTTGCGGTGCAAGTGGCAGAGCTCCACTCCCCCTACCCCACACCCCCACCCTCTCTCCTCCCTGGCTCCTCTCCCCTCTCTTGTCTTATATAGCCTCTTGTCACAAGCAGCTCTTTTTGCCCACTACAGCAAATTGTTTCTTGCTGTGGCTGTTCCACCTGATGACGGACGCTTGTATTGCTTCCGAAATGTCGTGATTTAATTTATTTTATTTTCTACCTACTACGTGACTTTACCGAAAGAACCAGAGAGTATGGATCCCTGCAGTCACGAAAACTTCAGATCTACACTTGAGGCCTGTAGACTCACACAGACACACAGACACCCGTAGATTCACACAGACACAGAGATCCGTAGACTCACACAGACACACAGACACCCGTAGATTTACACAGACACACAGAGACACGTAGACTCACAGAGACACACAGAGACCCGTAGACTCACACAGACACCCGTAGATTTACACAGACACACTGTGCCCTGTAGACTTACACAGACAGAGACCCGTAGACTCACACAGACACACAGAGACCCGTAGACTCGCATAGTAATGGGTGGTGGTATTAGTGGTAGTGGGTCATAGTTGCGGGTGGTGGTAGTAGTGGGTGGTAGTAGTGGGTGGTGGTAGTGGGTGGTGGTTGTAGTGGATCGTGGTAGTAGTAGTGGGTGGTGGTGGTAGTGGGTGGTGGTGGTAGTGGGTGGTGGTAGTAGTGGATGGTGGTAGTAGTAGTGGGTGGTGGTAGTAGTAGTGGGTGGTGGTAGTAGTAGTGGGTGGTGGTAGTAGTGGGTGGTGGTGGTGGTGGTGGGAGTAGTCACGATGTCATAATGAAGTGACGACGTATCTGCGAATCGACGTACAAGGGAGAGACGTAAATCGAGGGTATTACTGGACTCACACAGAGACCTATAGACCCACAGAGACCCATAGACTCACGTAGAGACCCATAGACTCACATAGAGGCTCTCTCACTCAGCCAACCACCCACAACCACCCACCCGCTCACCCGCCTTTGCTGCAGGGCACCTCGCTCCTCACGCTGCTGCACTGCGGAATAATCCCCTCCTCCCATCATCATCCGCATCATCACCACCATCACCACCATCATCATCATCACCGCTAGCATCGTCTCTTGGCGCCCCCACGTCAACAACAAGATCCTCGCCCGGTTCGAGAGCCTCCTCCTCCTTCCCCCCGCCCCCTCGATCTTCCTCCTTCTCTTCCTCCTCTTCCTCCTCCCCCCACCATCCTCCTCCTCTCCCCCCCCCCCCCGCGTGTCCCTGGAGGCGGCGTCCCCCCCTCAAGGTGCCGCGCACTCCCCCACGTGCAGTCGCAGCACCCCGCGGCTGTGCAGCGCCAGCAGCTCCAGGAACTCGTGGGGCATCGAGTGGCGCCGGTTGGGCTTCTGGTCGTCGTAGTAGTGGTGCGTCAGCTCCGCCGCCACACCGCCCGCCCCGGACGGGATCGCCCGGTCGAACGGCCAGAAGCCGTAGACGTGCACCTCGTCACACAGGTCCATGGCCACGCTCGTCTGGGGGGGGGGGGGGGGGGAGGGGGGGGCGGGGCAGGTGGGGGGGGGAAGAGGTGAAGATGTTGGGAGACGCTGGGGTGGGTGGGGGGGCAATCGCACGCGTGGAGAAGGAGAGACACGGAGAGGTGAAGGGGAGATAAAGGTGCTGGTGGTGGTAATGGTGGGGTGTAGATGTGGGGAGATGGATGGAGACACGGGGAGACAAAGGTGGAGAGAGAGAGTGCGATGTGAAGTTGCTGGGAGACGCAGTGGAGATGCTGGGAGACACGGGGTGTGTGTGTGGGGTGGGGGGGGGGGGGGATGAGGGTGGGGGAGGGAGGCTGACCATCATGAGCCCCGAGGAGGGTCGCGGCTCGTTCACCCCCTGGCCCTTCCAGAAGCGTGCGATGGCCCTCATGTAGTCGGGGTTGAAGAAGGCGACCCTCTGCTGCGCTCCGAAGTCCTCCAGCGTGAAGATGAGCTGCGGGCGGACACACACACGCACAGGGACACGTGGACACAGAGATGTGGACACGTGGACAGAGAGACGTGGACACAGACATACACATGGACACAGACGGACACGTGGACACGTGGACAGACGGATATATGGACAAAGAGAGAGACAGATGGACGATCGGATGGATGGGCAGGCAGACAGTGTATATGTGTATGAATGTCTAGGTGAGTGGGTGAGGGAGGAAGAAGGTGAGTGCATGAGTGAGTGAGTGACTGCTGCGTGTGAGTCAGTGTGTGAGTGTCCGTGTGTGAGTGAGTGTATGTGATTAAGTGAGTCTATGTCTGTGCTGTGTAAGTGAGTGTGTGTGTGTAAATGATTGTCTGTGAGTCAGGAGATTGAATCTTTACCCTCGGGGCTCCTCCAGAAACAATGAAAGCCACTACGGATGATCACGTGGAATGGTCGAACGCTCACTGCGGAGGAGAGGCTGCCACTCCTCTGTCGGGAGCTGGACCGGTACCTCCTGGATCTCTGTTGCATTCAGGAGGTGGACCGGCTCTGGCTCCTGCCACCATGAGGGGTGGACAGTCCTCTACTCGGGGTAGGAGACTGCCAAACAACAGGGTGTAGCTCTTCTTCTGAACAAAAGAATGAAGGGGGCGTGGGAGCGTGGCGGTGAGGTGTGGGAATCTGTGGGCCCCAGGCTACTTTGGGCTCGCCTTCCCATCAACCGGAGGCGAGGAGTGGTGGTCGTGGTTACTAATTTCCCCACTGAAGGCGAACATCAGTGGAGGGATGCAGGCAAAGTCGATGAGTCAGATGCCTTCTATGACCACGTAGTTCGTGAAGCCTTCAATGGCTGTACCGGAGGAATTTCCATCCGGTACAGACACAATGGGAGGCTGATTGATGCCCGGGTGTGGTCAAGGGATGGCTCCCTATTGCTCAACCAGGTTATGTATGCCGATGATCTGGTAATTGCTGCTCCCTCAGAGGAGGAGTTGGAAGTGCTGCTACTGAACCTGGAGCTTGCCACTATAAGGTGGGGCCTTACCATCAGCCCCAACAAAACTAAGCACCTGCCTCGGTATTTTGTACCATCGGACACTCCACCCCCACAACTCCCAATTGGTGATAGGGCAGTTATGGAGAGAGTGGAGAGTTTCCCATACCTGGGCAGTGTGCTCATGACCGGCTGCAGTTTAACAGCAGAGGTCTCACTCAGAATCAGTCGAGCGGCATTATTTTTTCATCAGTTGCATAACGCTGTGTGGAAGCTACCTGGTCTGTCGCTCCGCACGAAGCTTCAGGTCTTCTCTGCCACGGTAATTCCCTCCCTTCTCTACGCTTGTGAAACGTGGACCCTCCTAATGGAACATCTTCGCCAGTTAGAAACATTTAGGCTGGCCTGCCTACGATCTATCCTGGGTTTAACCAGGCTGGATTGTGTGAGGAGCTCACAAATCCTATAAATATCTGAACACATTTCCATCAGTGAGCTCCTCTGGCAGGCAAAGCTGCGTTGGTTGGGCCATGTAGCCCGCATGCCCAGCCACCGCATGCCTAAACAGCTTTTGTTCAGCCGGATCGAGGGGGCGAAACTGGCGCGGCACGGGCTAGAGAAGAGATGGAGTGATGTGTTACAGGAGGATGAGGAGCTGAGTGTACTTGCCGATAACTGGTACCAGCGGTGTTAAGATCGGCCTCTGTGGAGGAGGCTCGTGAAGGACGCGACTTAGCGGAGCGCCGAGTGGCTAAAGCACAGAAAGTTGGCACAGTAGGGGGCAAAGGTGGTGCATCAGCCAGTCGTCTCAGTCAGTCGACCTGTGGCATCTGGGTCTGCCCCGTGACCTGCCAGCGGGCGTTCGACACTTCACGTGGCCTCAAGGTGCACATAGCCTGGCACAAGCGTCGTGGTGACGTCACCACCACTTAGTGGCCAATGGCGGTTGTTGTTGTTGTTGTTGTGAGTCAGTGTCTGTGTAAATGAGTGGGTGTATGAGTGTCTGTGTGTGAGTGTCTGTGTGTGTGTGAGTGTCTGTGTGTGTGTGAGTGTCTGTGTGAGTGTGTGAGGGTCTGTGTGAGTGATTGTATTCGTACCCTCATAGCAATCGGCGTTAGGGATGCGAACGAGAACCCGGACACTAGGATGATGGTGTCTTTATACGCTGCCATCTCCTTCACAAACGGCTGCCGCCGGAAATTCAACGACTGGAATCTGCACAGACACATACAAAGGTCACCCGTGTAGCCTCCACTGGCTGTTTCGGGCAAGTGCCGTTTGCGAGCACCTCATGGCAGGCTGGTAGAGCCTACCTATGGCGAAGTGACGTGGCCTGAAACCACGCCAGTCGCTGATGTTTGATTTTTTTTTACACATCGCACTGGGTAATCGTTTGAAGTCTGAGTCGACCTAGTGGGAGTCCTGGGACCAGTTCAGATATTCGCCACTCGTCGTTGGCGGTGGCCGTGCACGAGAATAGAACTCGGGTCGCCGGGTTCGTGGTGGAGAGCGCTTGACCACTGCCCCACCGCTCCCCATCCGGGGGTTAAGTACAGCCAGAGACAAAGATTCCCCCGTGTAGCCTCAACAGACGTTTTATTGTTCGAGGGAGGCAAGTGCTCTTTGCGAGCAGCTGCGGCAGGCCAGCGCAGCGCACCGATCGCCGAGTGATGTTACCCTGAGAAACCCCCCCCAACTCATCCGCCTTTGTCTCCATCTAGTTGACGATGTTTATTTTTCACACACCGCACCGGCTAAACGTCTCAAGGCTGAGTCGACCTAGGCGAGGCCCAGGACCGGTTCAAACATCCCTCCGATGCTATTCGGTCGCGAGCGCTTCCGCCGCTCCGCCGAGGCAGCTCGTGCCAGGCTAGGTCCACCCAGGCGGGCCGTCAACCGTGAAGTGGTGGAACGATTTGGCTGCTGCTGGCAGGAAGCTGTAATGACTGCAGGAGCCAGGGCGAGGTGGATGGGGAACGAGAGTCGAGCGGCTCAGCTGACTGCCATGCCGGAGGAGCTCGTGCCAGGCTAGCTTCACTTCGGTGGGGGGGGGGGGGGGGGAGCTCTCACTTGTTCACGATGATGGTCGGGTTGGCCGTCACGATGTTGGTCTTTGAGCCGACGTCAACGGCAAACCTGCCATGCACCGGCGCCAGGTTACAGCTGCGCCGAGCAGAGGGGGTGCAGGGGGGGGGGGCAGTGGTGGGGGTCAAACGACGTCGCCGCTCATCGTCACTCGCGACGAGGTCGTCGCTCGTCCCGTCGCACGTTCGCTTTCCCTGGCTATGAGATGTTAACTACCTCGCATGGTATACAGGAGGTCGTGGGTTCGATCCCGACCCCGATGCCTGCTGCTGTATATTTGGAGTTTGCGTGTCTCTCTCTCTCTCATCATCATCACGGTGGCTATGAGATGTTAACTACCTCGCCTTGTATACAGGAGGTCGGGGGTTCAATCTCACCCATAACGCCTGCTGCTGTATATTTGGAGTTTGCGTCTCTCTCTCTCTCTCTCTTTCCGTGGTCGCGTGGATTTTTCTCCGTATTCCTCCACATCCCCCCCCCCCCTCCAACATTTAGAATCAACGCCACGCGTTCAGAAGAGTTATTTGGCTGCTGCTCTAAATTTCCACACGGTGATGATGATGATGACGATGACAATCCCACATCGTTGGAGCTACGATTTTTGATGGCCAGGTCGCTTCTGAAAAAGAGCTATACAGCAGCTCAGTGGGTCTTGCTGGTAATCCCGGACATCTGTGAGAAAAAAGGAGCATAATAGGATTCCTACAGTTTAAAATAACCATTCTGATTGTCATGTTCGGAACATTTCGCTAAAGGAGCGTGATGGTATAAAGACATTGTGTTTTAGAATTAAATCACCAGCGGTTGATCGGACGGGCGAATCTTACAGAGAGGTCCAGGCTCCGAGTCGTCAGTGGAGAATTCAGCACCGCGGAGAGCTCCGTTAGGGTCTCTGGAGCTGTCCGCGGTGCTGATTGTAACCCGCTGCGCTAACCACTGCGCCACCACTCTGTTTGTCCCGTTTGTTGTACCCGGGAAAGCATCGCCGAGTTTGTTGTTGTTTACGACGATTGCACATGTCGGCTTACAATTGAACACGTGCACACACACACACACGGACAAATATCCCCCGTGTAGCCTGTAACAGACTGTTGGGGCAAGGGCTGTGAGCGAGCACCTATGAAGTCCGGCACTGTGGCACACGAGGGGGTGGGTGGCCAGCACCAGGCCCGACCGCCTTTGTCTCCCCAGGGGCGATGTTTACACACCGCACCGGGTACTTATTTGAGGCTGAGTCATCCTAGGGGAGGCCTAGGACCGGTTCAGATAATCGTCGTTGGTGCTGGCCGTGAGCGGGAATTGAACTCGGGTCACCAGGTTCGTAGCGCAGCGCGCTAACCGCTACACTACCGCTCCACACAGACGCAGAGTCACACACACGCGCACGCATACATTCATTCAACAACAACAGCTACCATTCCCTAACTAATTGGTGGTAAAATCACCACGACGATGGTGCAAGGCTATGTGCACTTTTGAGGCCGTCACGTGAAGTGTGGAAGGTTCGCTATATTGCAGGAGGTTACGGAACAGACCCAGGTGCCAAAAGTTGACTGACTGAGATGACCGGCAGATGCACCAGCTGTGCTCCCCACTGTGCGAAATTGCTGCGTTTTAGCTGCCCGGCGCTCCGCTCGTTGTTGTGAGCTTAGATCCTCTGTCCTCCGTTGTTGTTGGAGGGCGACTGCCTTCAACTGCCCAGTAGCGTCCTTCGCGAGCCTCCTCCTCCATAGAGGCCGATCTTGACACCGCTGGTACCAGTCATTGGCAAGTCCACTCAGCTCCACATCCTCCCGTACCGCATCAGCTCCGTCTCTTCTCCAGCCCATGTCACTCAGCCACTCACTCCCTCACTCTTTCACTCAACTATTCACTTACCAACTCAGCCACTCACTCACCCACTCACTCCTCACTCAACTACTCACTCACCAACTCACTCACCCATCAGCTCCATCTCTTCTCCAGCCCGTGTCACTCAGCCACTCACCCACCCACTCACTCACCCACTCACTCCCTCACTCAACTACTCACTCACCAACTCAGCCACTCACTCACCTACTCACTCCCTCACTCAACTACTCACTCACCAACTCACTCACCCATCAGCTCTATCTCTTCTCCAGACCGTACCGCACCCGTTTACACCCCTCTAGCCAGGCAAACAGAAGCCGTTTTAGGCATGCGATGGCTAGCCACTCACTCTCACTTTCACAGTCTCTCACACTCCCTCTCCTTCTCTCGCTCTCCCTTCCTCTGCCCCCACACCCTATCACCGTATCACCACGTCGGCCTTGTCTACTCTCCCTCTCTCCATTTCTCTCACTCACTCTACATGTCTCTCTCTCTCCCTCCTCCCTCACTCACCGGATCTCGAAGTTGGCCCCGTCTATTCTCTTGTCTCTCACTCTCCCTCTATCACTCTTTCAATCCCCTCCCTCCCTCCCTCCCTCCCTCCCTCCCTCCCTCCCTCCCTCCCTCCCTCCCTCCCTCCCTCCCACCCTCCCTCCCTCCCTCCCTCCCTCCCCTCCCCTCCCTCCCCTCCCTCCCTCCCGCTTTTATTCTCTCAATCTCTTGTTCTCTCCCTCACTCTCTCCCCGTCACTCTCTCACTCCCCCTCTCTCTACCTCCCCCCTCCCTCCTTCTAATCGGATCACGGAGTCGGCCTTGTCTACCTTATAATTCACTCTCACTCAGTCTTTCCCTGTCTCCCTCCCTGTCTCCCTCCCTGTCTCCCTCCCTCCCTCCCTCCTCCTCCTCTCCCCCCCCTCTCACCGGATCACGAAGTCGGCTGCGTCGATCTGGGAGCCGCAGGAGCTGTTGGCGAGGATCCCTCCGTTCCCCACGACGGCGCAGCGAGGGTAGCGCCCACTCCGCTCGGGGAACTCCTGCAGCCACATCACCGTCATCAGCAGCAGCCATCACCATCATCATCATCAGCTATCATCATCAGCTATCATCGGCCATCATCAGGCATCATCATCATGACATGAGTGGTAGCGCGTTCGCCGCTTATTGCAGAGGTTCGCGTTTCGAGACGGGCAGTCCGCCCTGGTTAAGACTGCGGGTGTTATCATCATCGCATCATAACACGTGGCGGGTGAGCGAGTGGGTGAGCGAGTCAGTGGGCGAGAGGGCGAGTGAGAGAGTAAGTGAGCGAGAGGGCGAGTGAGAGACTGGGCGAGCGAGTGAGCAAGCGATGGAGCGAGCGAGTGAACGAGCGAGAGGGCGAGTGGGAGGGCGGGTGAGCGAGTGAGAGCGGGCGAGCGAGTGAGAGCGGGCGAGCGAGTGAGCGAGTGGGCGAGTGGGAGAGTGGGCGAGGAAGTGAGCGAGCAAGAGGGCAAGTGGGAGGGTGGGCGAGCGAGCAGGCGAAGGGGCGAGCGAGCAGGCGAAGGGGCGAGCGAGCGAGCGAGCCAGCACCTTGATGAACATGCCGTGCAGGTTCTTGTCCACTGTGATCGTCTTCTTGCTGGCGTCGTACGTGATGTTGGACTGAACAGGAGAGTTCGTCTGCGTCACCATCACCTGCCCCGCGCCGCCCGTCACGTTCTGGTGAATGTCCCTGTGACGCGGGGAGACACAGTGGGGAGGGGGGGGGGGGTTCACAGGGGGACGGGGGGACACCGGGACACACGGGGTGACGCTGGGAGACGGGGAGACACGGGGCGACGTAGGAGGGGAATTGTGGGGAATTGCTGTGAGGCGCCACCATCAGTGGCGGATTCCTAACGCAGTCCTGCGTGGCTGCAGCCGGAGTCACCTTTGGCGCGCCGCGTAAACAGCGGCACTGCACTGGGGACAGACACGGGCGTGGCGGTGCTGGCCACCCAAGCATCCAATCGCCCACCCACCCGTATACCGTGCCGGCCTTAATAGGCGCTCGCTAACAGCAGCAGCAGCAGTCTCTCCCACCCCCGACCCGCACCCCCCCCCCCTCCCCACCGTGCACTCACTGGAATTGGAGCGTGGAGGAGACATTGGGGGCCCAGGGACAGTCGCCTACCCCCTTGGCATCACTCACGACGTTCTGCTCGTTGAACCTGCCACGCACAAAGACAAAGGTTCCGCCACACACACACACACACGTGTAGCCTTAACGGGCTGTGGGGGCAAGTGCCCGTGAGCAAGCGGAACACGAGGGAGGGTGGGTGAGCAGCACCACGCCAGGCCGCCTTTGTCTCCCCACTGGCGATCGTGTTTACTATACACCTTCACCAGGTACTCATTTGAGGCTGAGTCTACCTAGTGGGGGGTGGGGGGGGGGTGGCCCAGGACCGGTTCATAAAATCGTCACTGGTGTCGGCCGTGAGCTGGAGTCGAAAGGCGTCATCTGGCCAAAAGGCGTCATCTGGTCGAGCACCAATTGGCTCGAGGCTCAAAAGAAAGCCGTCCCTTGGTGTGGACCAATCCGTTTCAAGGACAATGCACATATTATCGTAGTATGTTTTTTGTTTGCATTTTGACTGCAGGTATTGTGGTTAATGCAGACATGAATCCTTGTAAAAAGATTTCAGTTTTGTTGCCAGAAAAAAGGGGAAAAATCCTATTATTACATTTTGGTACTGGCAAAGGGGGTCTAATGATGAAACAAAGTAAGTTGCAACTTAACGTGTTTCGATGATTTACCTTCTAAAAAAAAAATGCCCATGTCTCGCTACCCCCAGAAAGGGCATCACGCACCCCCACCAGGGGATGCGTGATGCACCCTAGGTCAAGAACCACCGGGTTAGAGCATTTGGCTGCTGCTATGAATGTAAACACATGACGATCTTGATGATGATGAGCCCACTACGTTGAGCTATCATTTGCGATGGCCACGTGGCTTCTGGAAACACAAAATAGCTACAGAGCAGCTCAGTGGAGGCCTTACACCTGGTGAAAAAAGAAAAAAACAGCTCAGCACTGGACACAAAGAGCTTCAAAGCTCATCGGATTCCTCCAGTGTTAATAAACATTCAGATTCTGAAGGGCGGGGAGAGGATCCACTCACCTCTTTGGAATACCTCGATTGACGATGTTGCTGAAGAGCTCCGTGCAGGCTGTGCTCATCACAGCCTTCGCCAGCGTCACGGCGTTCCTGCACAGAGGAGGGCAGCAGAGGTGCAGGCCCATCGAGCCCGTCTGTGTGAGTCTATGAGTCTCTGTGTGAGTCTCTGTGTGAGTCTATGGGTCTCTGCGTGAGTCTATGAGTCTCTGTGTGAGTCTATGAGTCTCTGTGTGAGTCTACGGGTCTCTGTGTGAGTCTATGAGTCTCTGTGTGAGTCTATGAGTATCTGTGTGAGTCTCTGTGTGAGTCTATGAGTCTCTGTGTGAGTCTATGAGTCTCTGTGTGAGTCTGTGCGTCTCTGAGTCTCTGTGTGAGTCTACGAATCTCTGTGTGAGTCTCTGTGTGAGTCTATGGGTCTCTGTGTGAGTCTATGAGTCTCTGTGTGAGTCTATGGGTCTCTGTGTGAGTCTTTGGGTCTCTGTGTGAGTCTCTGTGTGAGTCTACAAGTCTCTGTGTGAGTCTCTGTGTGAGTCTACGGGTCTCTGTGTGAGTCTATGAGTCTCTGTGTGAGTCTATGGGTCTCTGTGTGAGTCTATGAGTCTCTGCGTAAGTCTATGATCTCTGTGTGAGTCTACGGGGTCTCTGTGTGAGTCTATGAGTCTCTGTGTGAGTCTATGGGTCTCTGTGTGAGTCTATGAGTCTCTGCGTGAGTTTATGAGTCTCTGTGTGAGTCTTTGTGTGAGTCTATGAGTCTGTGTGAGTCTATGAGTCTCTGTGTGAGTCTGTGAGTTTCTGTGTGAGTCTATGAATCTCTGTGTGAGTCTCTATGTGAGTCTATGGGTCTCTGTGTGAGTCTATGGGTCTCTGTGTGAGTCTCTGTGTGAGTCTATGGGTCTCTGTGTGAGTCTATGGGTCTCTGTGTGAGTCTATGAGTCTCTGCGTGAGTCTATGAGTCTCTGTGTGAGTCTATGAGTCTCTGCGTGAGTCTATGAGTCTCTGCGTGAGTCTCTGTGTGAGTCTATGAGTCTCTGTGTGAGTCTATGAGTCTCTGTGTGAGTCTATGAGTCTCTGTGTGAGTCTATGAGTCTCTGCGTGAGTCTCTGTGTGAGTCTATGGGTCTCTGTGTGAGTCTATGAGTCTCTGCGTGAGTTTATGAGTCTCTGTGTGAGTCTCTGTGTGAGTCTATGAGTCTGTGTGAGTCTATGAGTCTCTGTGTGAGTCTGTGAGTCTCTGTGTGAGTCTATGAATCTCTGTGTGAGTCTCTATGTGAGTCTATGGGTCTCTGTGTGAGTCTATGGGTCTCTGTGTGAGTCTCTGTGTGAGTCTATGAGTCTGTGTGAGTCTATGAGTCTCTGTGTGAGTCTGTGAGTCTCTGTGTGAGTCTATGAATCTCTGTGTGAGTCTCTATGTGAGTCTATGGGTCTCTGTGTGAGTCTATGGGTCTCTGTGTGAGTCTCTGTGTGAGTCTATGGGTCTCTGTGTGAGTCTATGGGTCTCTGTGTGAGTCTATGAGTCTCTGCGTGAGTCTATGAGTCTCTGTGTGAGTCTATGAGTCTCTGCGTGAGTCTATGAGTCTCTGCGTGAGTCTCTGTGTGAGTCTATGAGTCTCTGTGTGAGTCTATGAGTCTCTGTGTGAGTCTATGAGTCTCTGTGTGAGTCTATGAGTCTCTGCGTGAGTTTATGAGTCTCTGTGTGAGTCTCTGTGTGAGTCTATGAGTCTGTGTGAGTCTATGAGTCTCTGTGTGAGTCTGTGAGTCTCTGTGTGAGTCTATGAATCTCTGTGTGAGTCTCTATGTGAGTCTATGGGTCTCTGTGTGAGTCTATGGGTCTCTGTGTGAGTCTCTGTGTGAGTCTATGGGTCTCTGTGTGAGTCTATGGGTCTCTGTGTGAGTCTATGAGTCTCTGCGTGAGTCTATGAGTCTCTGTGTGAGTCTAGGAGTCTCTGCGTGAGTCTATGAGACTCTGCGTGAGTCTCTGTGTGAGTCTATGAGTCTCTGTGTGAGTCTATGAGTCTCTGTGTGAGTCTATGAGTCTCTGTGTGAGTCTCTGTGTGAGTCTATGGGTCTCTGTGTGAGTCTATGGGTCTCTGTGTGAGTCTATGAGTCTCTGCGTGAGTCTATGAGTCTCTGTGTGAGTCTATGAGTCTCTGCGTGAGTCTATGAGTCTCTGCGTGAGTCTCTGTGTGAGTCTATGAGTCTCTGTGTGAGTCTATGGGTCTCTGTGTGAGTCTATGAGTCTCTGCGTAAGTCTATGATCTCTGTGTGAGTCTACGGGGTCTCTGTGTGAGTCTATGAGTCTCTGTGTGAGTCTATGGGTCTCTGTGTGAGTCTATGAGTCTCTGCGTGAGTTTATGAGTCTCTGTGTGAGTCTCTGTGTGAGTCTATGAGTCTGTGTGAGTCTATGAGTCTCTGTGTGAGTCTGTGAGTCTCTGTGTGAGTCTATGAATCTCTGTGTGAGTCTCTATGTGAGTCTATGGGTCTCTGTGTGAGTCTATGGGTCTCTGTGTGAGTCTCTGTGTGAGTCTATGGGTCTCTGTGTAAGTCTATGGGTCTCTGTGTGAGTGTATGAGTCTCTGCGTGAGTCTATGAGTCTCTGTGTGAGTCTAGGAGTCTCTGCGTGAGTCTATGAGTCTCTGCGTGAGTCTCTGTGTGAGTCTATGAGTCTCTGTGTGAGTCTATGAGTCTCTGTGTGAGTCTATGAGTCTCTGTGTGAGTCTATGAGTCTCTGCGTGAGTCTGAGTTTCTGTGTGAGTCTATGGGTCTCTGTGTGAGTCTATGTGTCTCTGTGTGAGTATGAGTCTCTGTATGAGTCTATGTATCTATGAGTCTCTGGGTGAGTCTATGAGTCTCTGTGTGAGTCTCTGTGTGAGTCTATGGGTCTCTGTGTGAGTCTATGTGTCTCTGTGTGAATATGAGTTTCTGTATGAGTCTATGTGTCTCTGTGTGAGTCTGTGAGTCTCCTTGTGAGTCTATGAGTCTCTGTGTGAGTCTTTAAGTCTCTCTGTGAGTCCAATGGCCTCTGTGTGGATCTACGGGTCTCTGTGTGAGTCTATGGGTCTCTGTGTGGGTCTATGTGCTCTGTGTGAGTCTATGAGTCTATGAGTATCTGTGTGAGTCTATGAGTATCTGTGTGAGTCTGAGTCTCCTTGTGAGTCTATGAGTCTCTGCGTGCGTCTACGGGGTCTTTGTGTGAGTCTACGAGTCTATGGGGTCTCCTCTGTGTGAGTTCATGAGTCACTGCGTGAGTTTATGGGTATCTGCGCGGGTCTATTTTGTCTTTTTTGTGAGTCTACGGGTCTCTGTGTGAGTCTATGAGTCTCCTTGTGAGTCTCTGACTCTCCATGTGAGTCTATGAGTTTCTGTGTGATTATAAGTCTCTGTGTGAGTCTATGTGTCTCTGTGTGAGTCTATGGGTCTCTGTGTGAGTCTTTGGGTCTCTGTGTGAGTCTATGAGTCTCTGTGTGAATCTACGGGTCTCCTTTGTGTCAGTATGAGTCTCTGTATGAGTCTATGTGTCTCTGTTTGAGTCTATGAGTCTCTGTGTGAGTCTATGAGTCTCTGTGTGAGGCTATGGGGTCTCTTCTGTGATTATATGGGCCTCTGTGTGAGTCTATGAGTCTCTCTGTGAGTCTATGTGCTCTGTGTGAGTCTATGAGTCTCCTTGTGAGTCTATGAGTCTCGGTGTGAGTCTATGGGTCTCTGTGTGGGTCTCTGTGCTCTGTGTGAGTATATGAATCTCTGTGTGAGTCTACGAGTCTCTGTTTGGGTCTATCCCATAAGCACCCTGTATGTACCCCTTGCGTACCCTGTGTGTACCCTGTGTCTACCCTGTGTCTACCCTGTGTGTACCTGTGTGTACTCCGTGCGTACCCTGTGTGTACCCTGTGTCTACACCGTGCGTACCCTGTGTGTACCCTGTGTGTACCCTGTGTCTACCCTGTGTCTACCCTGTGTGTACCCTGTGTGTACCTGTGTGTACCCTGTGTCTACCCTGTGTCTACCCTGTGTGTACCTGTGTGTACCCTGTATGTACCCTGTGTGTACCCTGTGTCTACACCGTGCGTACCCTGTGTCTACCCTGTGTGTACCCTGTGTCTACCCTGTGTCTACCCTGTGTGTACCCTGTGTGTTCCCTGTGTCTACCCTGTGTGTACCATGTGTGTACCCTGTGTCTACCCTGTGTGTACCCTGTGTGTACCCAGTGTCTACCTGTGTGTACTCTGTGTGTACCCTGTGTGTACCCTGTGTCTACCTGTGTGTACCCTGTGTGTATCCTGTGTGTGCCCTGTGTGTACCTGTGTGTACCCTGTGTCTACCCTGTGTCTACCCTGTGTGTACCTGTGTGTACCCTGTATGTACCCTGTGTGTACCCTGTATCTACACCGTGCGTACCTTGTGTGTACCCTGTGTGTACCCTGTGTGTACCCTGTGTCTACCTGTGTGTACTCTGTGTGTACCCTGTGTCAACCCTGTGTGTACCCTGTGTCTACCCTGTGTGTACCCTGTGTGTACCCTGTGTCTACCCCGTGTGTACCCCGTGTGTACCCCGTGTGTACCCTGTGTCTACCCTGTGTGTACCCCGTGTGTACCCTGTGTCTACCCTGTGTGTACCCCGTGTGTACCCCGTGTGTACCCTGTGTGTACCTGTGTGTACCCTGTGTGTACCTCGTGTCTACCCTGTGTCTACCCTGTGTGTAACCTGTGTGTATCCTGTGTGTACCTCGTGTCTACCCTGTATCTACCCTGTGTGTACCTGTGTGTACCCTGTGTCTACCCTGTGTGTACCCTGTGTGTACCCTGTGTCTACCTGTGTGTACTCTGTGTGTACCCTGTGTCAACCCTGTGTGTACCCTGTGTCTACCCTGTGTGTACCCTGTGTGTACCCTGTGTCTACCCCGTGTGTACCCCGTGTGTACCCCGTGTGTACCCTGTGTCTACCCTGTGTGTACCCCGTGTGTACCCTGTGTCTACCCTGTGTGTACCCCGTGTGTACCCCGTGTGTACCCTGTGTGTACCTGTGTGTACCCTGTGTGTACCTCGTGTCTACCCTGTGTCTACCCTGTGTGTAACCTGTGTGTATCCTGTGTGTACCTCGTGTCTACCCTGTATCTACCCTGTGTGTACCTGTGTGTACCCTGTGTCTACCCTGTGTGTACCCTGTGTGTACCTCGTGTCTACCCTGTGTCTACCCTGTGTGTACCCTGTGTGTAGCCTGTGTCTACCCTGTGTGTACCCTGTGTGTACCCTGTGTGTACCCTGTGTCTACCCCGTGTGTACCCCGTGTGTACCCTGTGTGTACCCTGTGTGTACCTCGTGTCTACCCTGTGTCTACCCTGTGTGTACCCTGTGTGTACCCTGTGTGTACCTCGTGTCTACCCTGTGTGTACCCTGTGTTCACCCTGTGTCTACCCTGTGTGTACCTCGTGTCTACCCTGTGTGTACCTCGTGTCTACCCTGTGTGTACTCTGTGTCTACCCCGTGTCTACCCCGTGTGTACCCCGTGTGTACCCTGTGTGTACCCTGTGTCTACACCGTGTCTACCCTGTGTGTACCCTGTGTGTACCCTGTGACTATCCTGTGTGTACCCTGTGTGTACCCCGTGTGTACCCTGTGTGTATCCTGTGTGTAACCTGTGTGTACCCCGTGTCTACCCTGTGTCTACCCCGTGTCTACCCTGTGTCTACCCTGTGTCTACCCTGTGTGTACCCTGTGTCTATCCTGTGTGTACCCTGTGTGTACCCCGTGTGTACCCTGTGTGTACCCCGTGTGTACCCTGTGTGTACCCCGTGTGTACCCTGTGTGTATCCTGTGTGTAACCTATGTGTACCCCGTGTCTACCCTGTGTGTACCCTGTGTGTACACCGTGTGTACACCGTGTGTACCCTGTGTGTACCCTGTGTCTACCCCGTGTGTACCTGTGTGTACCCTGTATATACCCTGTGTGTACCCTGTGTCTACACCGTGTGTACCCTGTGTCTTCCCTGTGTCTACCCTGTGTGTACCCTGTGTGTACCCTGTGTCTACCTGTGTGTACTCTGTGTGTACCCTGTGTCTACCCTGTATGTACCCTGTGTGTACCCTGTGTCTACACCGTGCGTACCCTGTGTCTACCCTGTGTGTACCCTGTGTCTACCCTGTGTCTACCCTGTGTGTACCCTGTGTGTACCCTGTGTCTACCTGTGTGTACTCTGTGTGTACCCTGTGTGTATCCTGTGAGTTACCTGTGTGTACCCTGTGAGTACCCTGTGTGTACCCTGTGTGTACCCTGTGTCTACCCCGTGTGTACCCCGTGTGTACCCTGTGTGTACCCTGTGTGTACCCTGTGTCTTCCCCGTGTCTACCCCGTGTGTACCCCGTGTCAACCCTGTGTGTACCCCGTGTGTACCCCGTGTCTACCCTGTGTGTACCTGTGCCTGTGGACTTTCCTCGCCACTATTGCTGTTCCCTTTCCTTTGCTCCTCCGTGCCGGCCGGCGCACAGCAGGGACAGCAGCGACCCTGCACACGGGGCGGGGGTGGTGGTTATAGTGGTGGTGGTGAAGGTGGTGGTGGTTATAGTGGTGGTGGTGAAGATGGTGGTGGTTATAGTGGTGGTGGTGATGGTGGTGGTGGTGGTGATGGTGGTGGCGGTGGTGGTGGTTATAGTGGTGGTGGTGGTGGTGATGGTGGTGACGGTCGTGATGGTGGTGGTGAAGACGGTGGTGGTTGTGGTGGTGGTGAGGGTGTTGATGGTGGTGGTGACAGTGGTGGTGACGGTGGTGGAAGTGGTGACGATGTTGATGGTGGTGGTGACGGTGTTGATGGTGACGGTGATGGTGACGGTGTTGATGGTGGTGGTGACGGTGGTGGTCGTTGTGGTGGTGGTGGTGACGATGACGGTAGTGGTGACGGTGGTGATGGTGATGGTGGTGGTCGTTGTGGTGGTGGTGGTGGTGTGACGGTAGCGGTGACGGTGGCAGCGACGGTGATTACGGGGAGCGGCGGCACAGCGGTTAGCGCTGTGTTGCGTCACGAACCCGGCGACCCGAGTTCGATTCGCGCTCACGGCCAACGTCAGTGACATCTCAGCCTCCTGAACGCAAACCCCAGGTCACAGATGCGGTGTGACTGTGCCTCATACCTCTTTGCGTGCACCTCTTCCTGCGCCACCTCCTTCTTATCTGTGTTCCAGTCCACGCACCTGCACACCGCAACACACCACACACATCACCACACACATCGCCACACACACCACCACACACACCACACACATCACCACACACACCACACACATCACCACACACACCACACACATCACCACACACATCACCACACACACCGCAACACACCACACACATCACCACACACATCACCACACACACCGCATCACACACTACACACACCACACACACCACACACATCACCACACACACCACACACATCACCACACACATCACCACACACACCGCAACACACCACACACATCACCACACACATCACCACACACATCACCACACACACCGCAACACACACTACACACACCACACACACCACACACATCACCACACACACCACACACACCCCCACACACATCACCATACACACACCACCACACACACCGCAACACACACCACACACACCGCCACACACATCACCACACACACCACCACACACACCACACACATCACCATACACACATCACCACACATCACCACACACACATCACCACACACACCGCAACACACACCACACACACCACACACACACCGCAACACACACCACACACACCACACACACCGCAACACACACCACACACCACACACACCACACACACCGCCACACACATCACCATGCACACACCACCACACACACCGCAACACACACCACACACACACCACACACCACACACCGCAACACACACCACACACACCACAAACATCACACACATCACCATACACACCGCACACATCACCACACACACCGCACACATCACCACACACACCGCAACACATCACACACATCACCACACACATCACACACACCGCAACACATCACACACATCACCACACACACCACAACACACCACACACAACACACACCACACACACGACACACCACACACACACCACACACATTACCACACACACCACAACACACCACACACACCGCACACACCGCAACACACCACACAACACACACATCACCACACACACCACACACATCACCACACACATCACCAAACACACCACCACACACACCACCACACACACCACCACACACACCGCACACACCGCAACACACCAACACACACCACACAAACACCACCACACCACACACACCGCAACACACCACCACAACACACCACCACTAAATACAGAGATCCCCCGTACAGCCTTGTAACAGACTGTTGGGGCAAGTGCTGTCAGCGAGTGGTGGCACCCGTAAACTGGTGGTGGGTGATTTAAAGCTTTGGTGACTGCAGTAATTCATATTCTTAGCTCTTTCGGTAAAGTCACGTTGAAGGGAAACAATAAAACAATAAAATATATATAAAACAATAAAAATTCTCACGACTTTTCGACCATAACACAAACGGTCGTCATCAGGTGTGAAAAGCCTTTCAAAACCATAACTTTACCATACATTGCGGGGATCACAAAAAAGATCTCCAAAATCTTGAATAAACACAAGATCCAGGTCCGGTTCAACACATTACATAAAATCCGTGATCTGGTTCCATCTGTAAAAGATGTAATTCCGGACATACAGTACCCTGGTGTCTACAAACTAAGTTGCCTCTGTGGTAGTAGTTGCATTGGAGAAACCAAACGCCATGTCTCGGACCGCATTCGTGAACACAAAGCAGACCTTAAACACGGTAGGACCAACACCTCGGCCGTGGCAGATCTTTGTTATAATTCAGTAGGCTCACATGACATTGACTTTTCCAAGACAGAGGTCCTTTGTAAGCCATCTGGCTACCATGAGAGATTCGTTCATGAGGCTATCCACATATACAAGCACAGAGACAATTTCAACCGAGAAGATGGATTCTGGCTTAGCAATCATTGGAAAGATTTGATTAACCATTTCAGGTCTTAATTGATTGTTCACGCTTACAGTGGCTTTCAGACAGCATACAATAATTTTTCGTCTCCCCCCTCCTCTGTTCAGAACATAGATGGACTAGTCCTTCTAAATAAACTGCCAAATCGCTGCGCGTGGCGCTGACGTTTTTTTATAAATAAATAAAGACACCGTTTAAAAATAAATAATTTAATGCAAACCGACACACCTGATGACGACCGTTTGTGTTATGGTCGAAACGTCGTGAGAATTTGTATTGTTTCCTATATAGTTTATTATTTTATTGTTTCCCTTCAACGTGACTTTACCGAAAGAGCTAAGATTATGTGGGTGGGTGGTCAGCGCCACGCCCAGCCGCCTTGGTTTCCCCAGTGGCGATGGTTACTACACACCACACCAGGTACTCGTTTGAGGCTGAGTCGACCTAGGGGAGGCCCAGGACCGGTTCGGATCATCTTCACCGGTGTTGTGCCGTGAGCGACAAATCGAACTCGGGTCGCCGGGTTTGTGTCGCAGCGTAGCGCTAACCGCTGCACCACCGCTCCCCGCACAACCATCACAACAACCGTAGCTTTCCAACATCACCATCGGTCGCCACGATCACCAACATGAACGGCTCTTTACTTATTGATTGACACAAAAACAAATAGACGTCATCCGTTCTGGCAAGAACACGGGAGGCGTGAAGATGTTGAGCAACAACGAGAAAACGCCGATGAAAAAACAAGGCATCATAAAGTCCACATTTCGCCACACATCACGCGTGTGGTGAAAAATGCAAACACACACGTGCTCCCATGATTATTAAGACGTGATGCATTGGTCCCTGAGGCCGATTTGCATACACCAGAGCCAGCCTCCTGTCCTATGCAGCATCGCCTCGTCGCCGGTGATGCGCGCGTACCGTTTGTATGTGCGTCGACCTTATTTCGCAATCGTACGTAGCCAAGCCGTGTTAGACCAGGGAACCACGCGAACAGTAGGACAATGGAAATGCCAAGGAATGAATAGCTTCGAGTGGAGGAGTTCATATCTTGTATGGGACCATTTATGTATGCGAGACGCTGTTAAGATGATGGAAAGAAGACAACCCCCCCCCCACAATTTTGGCTTCAGCCTCATGGCCGCCCCCTAGGTCGACTCAGCCTCAAATCAGTGCCTGGTGCGGAGTGTAAAAACATCGCCACTGGGGAGACAAAGGCGGCCGGGCGTGGTGTTAGCCACCCACCCCCTCGTGTGCCGTGCCGGCCTTCATAGGTGTTCGCAAACAGCGCTTGCCCCAACAGTCTGTTACAGGCAACGTGGGGGACCTTTGTCTTTGCGTGTACAGGGGAGCGGCCTGCGCTTGGCTGCCAACATTCAGGCTCTGTCCTTGAGCCCTGGAGTCGTGACACCAACCACGACCACCCTCAGTGTCAATCAAAGTGAATCACCCGCAAACACGCACTCTGTCCCCATCATCGCAACAGCAGCAGCAGCGATCGCTTGCGTTGCGATCGAAACGTCGCGACCCATTATTTTTTCCCACCTACGTGACTTCACCGAGAGACCCACAGGAGATGGAGATTCGTCCACCCACGGGTGTCGAAGGGAGAGCGATGGACCAGCAGAGCTGCCCGTCGCTCGGACCGTCACGACGGGAGCGGACGCGATGACCACGGCTGCCCGTCTTGCCTCGGGCGGAGCGAATGACAATCAATGCGTGAGTCACGTGACAGGTGTGGAGACGAGGTGGGTGGGAGGTGGGTGGGAGGTGGGGGGGGGCGGACCGACCCGCTCGCGATGCAAATTACGCGTGAGACCCCCCCCCCCAAAATACCAACCCCAAAAAAACCCGGAGCTTGTTGCGAAATCTACGCGCAGGGCCGTGGGACGAGGAGGGGGAGGAGGAGGGGAGGAGGGGGGGGGGGGAGGAGGAGGAGGGGAGGAGGAGGGGGGAGGAAGAGGGGGGGGTGGAGGAGGGGAGGAGGAGGAGGAGTGGAGGAGGGGAGAGGAGGGGGGTAATGGTGCGCAATTAATGTTATTTCCTCTCAAGGTCACGGGATCGCTTCGTGGAAAGAATCAATGATTCGCCGGCCTCAAACGAAGGTCAGCCTGGTCAACGCCGACCCGACAGGTACTGATTGAGAGCGTGGGAAGACGGGGGGTGGCGGCGGGGGGGGGGGGCAGACAGACTTGACTTTTAAACAACTTTTATTGCCATCAGCAGTAACAGCGTGTGGCGGGAGGTGGCGGGAGATAGAGGGAGAGACAGGGAGAGAGGGGAGGGGGTAGAGAGAGAGGGGGTAGAGAGAGAGAGAGAGGGAAGGTGTAAGGAGAGCGGACCGTGAAATCTATTGTGAAATCTTTCATTTAAAAAAGGGGTGGGGTGAGTGGGGTTTACACAAAGCAAAGCATTAACCACCCCCCCCCCCAAAAAAAAAAAACCCGAAATGATGAACGAAGCAAAGCGCCGACTACACCGAGCATCTTCTTGTTTCCTCTGATCGTAACGCGGGGAGATAGAAGGAGAGACAGAGAGAGAGAGATGTCTATGCGCCCCCTTCCAAAGGTTTAACAGCCACTCTTTAACGAACGAAGTGCCGATGAGTTGTTTGTAAGCGAAGAAGGCGCGCTGATCGGAGGTGCGACAGGGGGGGGTGAAGGACTACAAACTAAACACAAGAACAAGAAGCGGTTGTAAATAAATGAGTTTGTCAATCTAGATGATGATGATTTAAAAGCGGCAGGGCGTCAGCGGCTTTCTAATATCGGCAAGGAAGAGCGTTCCAGACGGCCGCAGAAGTGTAGTGTATAATGTAGCATAGAGTGGAGCGCATAGTGTAATGTATAGTGTAGTGTATAATGTAGCGTATAGTCTGAGCGTATAGTGTACTGTATAGTGTAGCGTATAGTGTAGTGTATAATGTAGCGTATAGTCTAAGCGTATAGTGTAGTGTATAGTGTAGGGTATAGTGTAGCGTATAGTGTAAGCGTATAGTGTAGTGTATAGTGTAGCGTATAGTGTAAGCGTATATTGTAGTGTATAGTGTAACATAGTGTAAGCATATAGTGTCGTGTTTAATGTAGCGTATAGTGTAAGCATATAGTGTAGTGTATAGTGTAGTGTATAGT